AGTGACATCACCCTTGCTGCGCAAGGGGAAGACTGTGGTGTAACGCGAGTAGTCGTCAACCACCAGCAGGAAGTAGCGCTCGTGACCCTGTCCACGGACGCGGGCCGGGCCCCACACGTCCATGTGAAGAGTCTGCAGCGGGGCCTCTGTCGGAGGAAACTGGGAGGAGTGAGGGGCAGCCCGCTGTCGTCCCTCGACACAGGGGACGCAGGTAGGGCCAGGCCCCGGAGGAAGGGGAGGGAGGGACCGGGGAAGACCTGAGACAAGGACACGGGAGGCCATGCTCCGGAGACGAAGCAGGGAGGGGTGACCAAGGCGGTGGTGCCAGAGGAGAGTCTCGTGAGACAGGAGGCGACACGAGCAGGGGGCAGACTCAGGACCAGACCTGGACGCTGCAGCAAACACCTGACCCGACGCAGCTACCTGACCAGACGCAGTGACTGGAGGAGACGCAGTGGTCAGTGTGTACAGGCTCGACCCCGGCCGACGTGTAAACGTGGCCAGGTGTCGGCCTGTCCGAGCGTCCGTGCAGTGGGTCACCCGCTGACTCGCAGGAGTGAACTGGTGAACCCCCGCATCCTGTAGGTCAGCACCACTCACCAAGTTCGTAGAGAACGAGGGGAGGTAAAGACCAGACAGGGTGCCAGAGGGGGCCGCCGGACACGGGAGGACAGTGGAGAAGTGAGCAAGGACAGGACCCCCAGAGGGGTCTGCCAGAGAGACTGCAACTGGCCGGCCAAGCGGCGTGAGTGTGGTGCGGTCTCGAAAGAAGGAGCGAGAAGCCCCCGAGTCAAGGGTGAAGGTGTGGGAGGCCGAAGCCGATGCAGAACCTGAGAGAGCAGACTCACCAGTACCTGAGGGAGCAGACGCACCTAGAGCAGCAGCCTCGCTAGCACCTAGAGAAGCAGCCTCACCAGTACCTAGAGCAGCAGACTCAATGCCCGGGTCGGGCGGAAAGCACCGGTAACAGTCAGCCTCATCACTAATAGTCACAGTATACATGGCAGCAAGAATAGCATCAAAGTCAAGGTCAAAGACAGCTACACCCGCCCTAGACAGCTCACCCCAGCGGGGGATCTCAGTGGCCTCAGGGAACTGGTGACGCCAAGCGTCCGTCAGGCGGCCAAAGCAGCGCTGGGTGGAGTGCGCACCCCAGCACTGCTCACCCGCGCGGTCGCCGGTGCGTAGGACGTAGGTGCACGGACCAGTACCCCCACCTCGCTGGCGTGCAGCGTACCACTCACGGAGCTGCTGAGGGGGGGGGATGTCACGAGTGCGCTGCTGCTGGCGCTGACCACCACCGGAGCCGACCCTCTGCGTAGCACCACCCCGACCCGCTCCACCTCCTCCGCCGCCGCCTCCTCCACCGCCGCCACCTCCGCTCCCACCGCCACCGCCGCCGCTGCCTCCGCCTCCACTGCCGCCACCGACCCCTCCACCCCCGCCACCACCCCCTCCGGCACTCCCACCCCCTCCACCGCCTCCACCGCCGCCTCCACCGCCCCCGCTAGCTCCTCCAGTGCCCCTGCCCCCCTTGCCCTTGCCAGGGCGGCGTCTCCCGCTAGGGGTAGACGCCGCACCGACCGACTCAAGCCCAACGAGGTCGGCCGCAGCAGCAGAGGCAACAGAGGGCAAAAGGGGGGAGGGGGAACACCCCTCAAAGACGGGGGTGCGAGGGTCACCACGAGAGGCTCCTACAGCTACTATGCTCTTTTCTGCTGCTAGGAGGGCCTTCTCGAGGAGATCAACGGTGAAAGTGGTGGGGCAAACTGAGAGGAAGTGGTCCCTGACTACGCGAAGGGAGTCAGGGAGCCGGGTGACTATGTAGTAGAGGGTGATGTACATGGGGGGGGGGGTTCTTGGCGCAGAACTCAGCAGGAAGGGCAGCGCGGTAGCGAGTGTCACTAGTGCGGAGGTGCGTAATGAGGTCAGCGACTGTGGGAAAGGCAGCAAGGTCAGGGAAGGAGTAGCGCGCAACGACAGCGTCGTACAAGGTGTGAGCACTCTTGTACTGGCTAAAGTGTGCGCGCTCAGAGGTAGGCAGGTGGCGACGCACAGCAAGACGTGCAGCAGCATCGCGCGTGGCCCACTGTGAGCGAACAGTGGCGTCAGCATCAGCAGCGGGGGCAGGGGAGGCACCAGAAGTGAGGTCAAAGAGGGAGAGGCCGTCTGCTCTGTCGCACTGTAAGAAAAGCTGCAGGTCATCTATCCAGACGTCAAAGTCAATGGCCCGACCCTCAGCGTCAAAAGCGAGGACACTAGGGGTAGCCATGACAGCAGTAGACTAGCAGCGCAAACAGTAGGGTGAGGGCAGTGCTGTGAAAGAGGCGCTGCTCTTACCAGACAGGGCGGCTCGGGTGGCTCGGTTGCAGGGCGGCTCGGCGGCTCGGCTGCTCGGCGGCTCGGCTGCAGGGCTGCTGGGCGACTTGGCGGCTCGGCTGCTGGGCGGCTCGGCGGCTCGGCTTCTGGGCGGCTCGGCTGCCGGGCGGCTCGGGTGGCTCGGCTGCAGGGCGGCTCGGTGGCGTGGCTGCTGGGCGGCTCGGCGGCTCGGCTGCTGTGCAGTTCAGCAGCTCTGTTGCTGGGCAGCTTGGCGGCTCGGCTGCTGAGCGGCTCGGCGGGGCCGCTGAGAGGGCTGCGTCCGGGGCCGCTGGGAGGAGGCGGCGGGGCCACTGAGAAGAGGCGGCGGGGGCGCAATCACGGTAGCAGCGGCGGCTGTCTCAGCAGTAGCCGCGGCAGCTGTGACGACAGCAGTGGCGGCAGCCACCACGGTAGCAGCGGCGGCAGCGATCACGGCAGCAGCGGAGGCGGCAGCAGCAGCACGCGCTACTGCAGCCGCGAGAGGGCGGCGACGAGGCCGCGAGGCGCGGCTGCAGGGCCGCGACGGGCTGCGACACAGCCGTTAAGGGCGGCAGGGGGGGGGGGGGTCCGCGAACGACGGCGACGGGGCCGCGAGAGGAAGGGCCGCAAGGGGCCGCTGAGGGCGGCGCGACGGGCTGTTCAGGGCGGCGCGACGGGCCGCTAGGGGGCGGCGACGGGGTCGCTAGGGGCCGTGAGAGAGGGTGGGCCGCCAAGGGCGGCGCGACGGGTCGCTAAGGGGAGAGCGGCACACAGGGCGCGCCTCGGGCTGGGGCGACTCGATCTCCGGGCAGGTAAAAAAAATTTTCAGTTGGTGGGCCCTAGGAACAGTTCCCACAGGGGAACCTGCTCTATACCATGTGAAATAAACAAGGAATGAATGTGACTAAGGGAAAGTTGGGGTACAAATACAAACCCTAAGAAAGCTATACCCCATATGTGCTACCCCACTATAGCCTACAGTATCTATGTCATATAAATCTGACAGGAGCTGTACGAGGTGGTTACCTCGTTCAAGTTCCACAGGCTCATCCGCTTTCTTGCGGATGTGCTGTGGGAACTCAACGCCCTCAACAAGCGCTTCCAGCAACGCCAGGTAATAGCTTTTGCCACATGCATCTTGGTTCCCGCAACTATGCACGACCACGTACTGACTGCTTGTAGTGCCTGTATGCAGGTTGACGTCACCCTTGTTGCGCACATCGTGGAGCAAACAAGGATGCGTCTAAAGACCAAATACTCCCTCTGTGACCCAGCCCACCACTTCGGCAGCGGGGATAAAATGCAGCTGCCAGAATTCATTAAGAGGCATCAAGCAATGGATAAGAGAGAGATGAAGGCGGAGGGTGTTAACGGGGACGGGAATCCCGTCTATTTTGTCTACGAGCTGCACGAGCGTCGTCTGCCCGGACACGAAACTGATGGCGACGTGACGGCGTGCGTGGAGCTGTCGATCAAGTTTGTGCGTGCCGTGGACGCCGAGCTGGAGTGGCGGATGTGCGACCTGAACCTGCTGGAAGGAACGAAGCTGTTTCAGAGAGCTTCGTATGTGTCTGACGACAGCAAGCGCGTGGAGACCTTCAAAAAGTGGCTGGGCCTTCTGCACAAGCTGCACAACCATAAGCTGCCTGGTAAGCCATAATAGGAGTATGCAGTTGTGTTCCAATGTTTTGTCAATTGCATGTCTGTCGCGTTGGTGACTCGTGCACGTGGTGCTCACCGCTGCTCGTTGGACTAATGCCCCCCACTCCTACCCGTGTATGCGCGCGTCGCCCAAGTTTACACCCCGTACCCGCCCCATGCTAGGGTTCGACTACAAAAGGGCCGGCCAGGAACTGTAGATGTTTACATCCACAATGTTCTCCCAGCACAACAACGAGGAGTTTCATCAGGCGCTGGGGAACATGCTGCGGGACGACGCGTGGCGTGTGTCCTTCCCCAACATCATGAGCATGTGGCAGTCAGTCGCCGTGCTGCCATTGAGCACAGTTGAATGCGAGCAGGGCTTCTCGAAGCAGAACCTGATCAGGACTTGGGGACGTGGCAGCCTTGGCGACACAAGCTTGGAGCACCTGATGCGGTGCTCTCTTCTGTGGTATGATGTCGACTGGTACAAGGTGGTGGCCATCTTCTTAGGAGAGAAGCTCAGACGATCCACCAAGGAGTTTGACGCCTCCAGGGCTAGCGATTCAGAGTTTGTAGAGGAAGTTGTAGGCAGTGGGGGTGGCACTGAGTAGTTGTGATGTTTGCGCAACCTTATTAATACTGAAGAAATTACGTAACAGAGAGTAGTATTGGAAACATGCTATCTGTAGAAATACCCTGCTCAAATCAGGCTACCATGCCGAAATCCTTGATTTACCTTGATGCAAACAGGGTATGGAAAAATTTACACAACGGGTCAGGGTAAAGAGGAGCTGCAACCCTGATTTGTCAGGGTGGGCCTAAACCAATTTTGGGCCCTGGTTGGGAGTGAGAACCACTGGCAAGAACCACTGGCGAGAACCACTGGGACAATATGCATGTGTGTTGAGAGGTGATGGTGGTTGGGAGGGATGCATGCATGGCAATGCATTGCCACATTGCTGCATGTAATCATGTGAGTATGTGTGTATCTGAGCATGTGAGCATGTGATGTGAGCAAGTCACCATGCGTCCATGAGCGCATTGACTGCCAGCAACACGTTTGGCCTTCTCAACAATTCCTGCACGCACATGCACACATGCACACATGCACACATGCACCACGTGTGCAGACAAACAGCAAACAATGACAAGAGCAAGAAAAGAATGAGTGGGATGGATGTAGCAGCACAGCTCCCCATGCCATGCAGGAGAGAAGGATGAGTGAAGGGGAGGGAGCAGTGGATGGCTGCACAAGGGTAGGAGGGGTGAAGGGTAGGAGGGGTGAAGGGGAGCAGAGGAGAAGGGGAGCAGAGGAGAAGGGGAGCAGAAGAGAAGGGGAGCAGAGGAGAAGGGGAGCAGAGGAGAAGGGGAGCAGAAGAGAAGGGGAGCAGAGAGAAGGGGAGCAGAGGTGGTTGATCCGTTGCAGCAAGAGTGGAGATGGGAGCATGAGCATGCGAGCAGCATGTAGCAGCACATCTCCCCATGCAAGCATGTATGTCCCATGCTAGCATGTATGTCCCATGCTAGCATGTATGTCCCATGCTAGCATGTATGTCCCATGCTAGCATGTATGTCCCATGCTAGCATGTATGTCCCATGCTAGCATGTATGTCCCATGCTAGCATGTATGTCCCATGCTAGCATGTATGTCCCATGCAAGCATGTATGTCCCATGCTAGCATGTATGTCCCATGCTAGCATGTATGTCCCATGCTAGCATGTATGTCCCATGCTAGCATGTATGTCCCATGCTAGCATGTATGTCCCATGCTAGCATGTATGTCCCATGCAAGCATGTATGTCCCATGCTAGCATGTATGTCCCATGCTAGCATGTATGTCCCATGCTAGCATGTATGTCCCATGCTAGCATGTATGTCCCATGCTAGCATGTATGTCCCATGCTAGCATGTATGTCCCATGCTAGCATGTATGTCCCATGCTAGCATGTATGTCCCATGCTAGCATGTATGTCCCATGCAAGCATGTATGTCCCATGCTAGCATGTATGTCCCATGCTAGCATGTATGTCCCATGCTAGCATGTATGTCCCATGCTAGCATGTATGTCCCATGCTAGCATGTATGTCCCATGCTAGCATGTATGTCCCATGCTAGCATGTATGTCCCATGCTAGCATGTATGTCCCATGCTAGCATGTATGTCCCATGCTAGCATGTATGTCCCATGCTAGCATGTATGTCCCATGCTAGCATGTATGTCCCATGCTAGCATGTATGTCCCATGCTAGCATGAGGGCACACACCTGGCGGATGGCATGTGAGGGCACATGCGGCAGCACCTCCTCCACCTGCGCCACCATCGCTGCCATTCTATCCTCATCCACCCCCATCCGCATCCCCATCCCCCATCCCCCAGCTCCCCCCCGCGCACCTTCCCCTCCTCCCCCCTGCCCGCCTTCCCCCCCTCCTCCCCACAAGCTCCACCCTCTCCGCCTGCCCCTCACCTCCTCCCCTCCTCCTCCTCCTCCCACCACTCCCCCCCTTACTTCTTCCCCTGCTTCTCTCCCTCCTCCTGCCGCTGCCCCCACTCTTGGTTGCACAGGCGCTCCCCCTTCCCCTCCTGCGCCCCCACCCCCTGTCCCGCTTTCTCCCCCGCCTCCTGCCCCCTCTTCCCCCACATGTCTTGCCCTCCCACTCCCCCCTCCTCTGAACCGTATTCCTCTTAGGGAAATGGAAGAGGAGAAAAACCGGCCTCCCCCAATCCCCCTCTCTCCCCCTTCCTGCCGCTCCCCTCCCCCCATCCCCCCACCGCCCCCCTCCCCTCGATGCCCCTCTCCCCCCTGACCCCCCCCAGCCCCTCCCCTTGCTCCCTCCCCCTGACCTGCATCCCCACCCCACACCCGATTCACTCCCCCCCCTGCATCTTCCCACCCACCCCCCCAAGCAGCCTCCGGAGGGGGCTGATTCGCAGCAACCCCAGCAGCAGCAGCAGCGGGGGGGGGCTGGGGCGGAGGGGAGAGCGACGAGAGCACGTTGGGGGGAAGGCTGTCAAGCGGGCGGCGGCAGGTGGGGCAGGAGTAGGGCGCTTGTGACCCGTGCTCTAACCAACTCCGCAGGCACGACAGGTGAAACAGATGGCCGCAGGGGAGACGCTTAGCCGATGATAATGGTTCGCGGCAAATCGCACAGTCGTCAGCAAAAGCGGTAATTTGGGCTGGAGTGGCATCGGGGAAGGTGGAGCGGAGGAGGCGGAGGGCGGCGTGCCACCGAAGGAAGCCGGCCACTCGCTTGGAGAGGGCGGCGAGGAGCGTCCGTATGTTGAAGACGAGAACGAGGTCGATGACTGAGAAGGAGAAGCCTCGGATGAGAAGCACGAGCGCACAGTGCGCGAGGGTGAGGAGCGTGGAGGAGGCGTCTGCAGTGAATGAGACGTTGAAGAGCAGCCAGGAGCGCAGCTCTGCCCACTCACAGGACGCCAGGAGGGCTGCGAGAAGAGGGCCAGGAGAGAGACGGGGTGGGAAGGGAGATGGAGAGAAAAGGTAGATTTTAGTGCCTGAGGCGGCTGTTGCAGTGTGCAAATGTGAGGAGGCGTCCGCGGTGAATGAGACATTGAAGAGCAGCCAGGAGCGCAGCTCTGCCCACTCACAATCCTTGACGGCATCGTTCAGCTCTCCCTCTCACCACCCCAGTTCCTCACAGGTCCGCCTCAAGCATGGGCCCTCCCAGCATGACGGCAGCAGGCCTTACAGGTGAGCGGCAGGGCGGGGGGCAGGTGCGCAGAGAGGAGGTCGGAGTGGGCCTCGAGCAGATGCACGCAGTAGTGCAGCAACGTCTGATCATGGGGTGGGGATGGGGGTGGGGAAATGGGGAGGGGAATGAGTTGGGGGAAGGAGTGGGGAGCCTGGCGGGATGGGGGCATGGTGGCATGGAGGGATGGGGCGTGGGGGCATGGAGGGATGGGGCGTGGGGGCATGGAGGGATGGCGGGATGGGGGGATGGAGGGATGGGCGAAGAACGGTGCTCTGACTGCTCTAACTCCTGAATGGCACCCGGGAAGGAGTGGATGTGCTGACCCCAGTGGTGTCGATGGCAATGGCGAGTGGCTCGTAGGCGAATAGCAGCCCCACGGACGGAGGGGACATGGAGGCATGGGAGCGAGCATGAGGGATTGTGTGGATGGGGTGAGGGGTGCATGCGGGTATGGCCGCACTGACCTGGGTGGTGTCGATGGCGATGACGAGTGGCTCGAGGCAAAGAGCAGCCCCACGGAGAGAGTACGTGGGGATGGAGGGATGGGGAGATGGGCGGATGGGGGCATGGGAGCACGGACCTGTGTGGTGTCGATGGCGATGACGAGTGGCTCGAGGCAAAGAGCAGCCCCACGGAGAGAGTACGTGGGGATGGAGGGATGGGGAGATGGGCGGATGGGGGCATGGGAGCACGGACCTGTGTGGTGTCGATGGCGATGACGAGTGGCTCGAGGCAAAGAGCAGCCCCACGGAGAGAGTACGTGGGGATGGAGGGATGGGGAGATGGGCGGATGGGGGCATGGGAGCACGGACCTGTGTGGTGTCGATGGCGATGACGAGTGGCTCGAGGCAAAGAGCAGCCCCACGGAGAGAGTACGTGGGGATGGAGGGATGGGGAGATGGGCGGATGGGGGCATGGGAGCACGGACCTGTGTGGTGTCGATGGCGATGACGAGTGGCTCGAGGCAAAGAGCAGCCCCACGGAGAGAGTACGTGGGGATGGAGGGATGGGGAGATGGGCGGATGGGGGCATGGGAGCACGGACCTGTGTGGTGTCGATGGCGATGACGAGTGGCTCGAGGCAAAGAGCAGCCCCACGGAGAGAGTATGTGGGGATGGAGGGATGGGGAGATGGGCGGATGGGGGCATGGGAGCACGGACCTGTGTGGTGTCGATGGCGATGACGAGTGGCTCGAGGCAAAGAGCAGCCCCACGGAGAGAGTACGTGGGGATGGAGGGATGGGGAGATGGGCGGATGGGGGCATGGGAGCACGGACCTGTGTGGTGTCGATGGCGATGACGAGTGGCTCGAGGCAAAGAGCAGCCCCACGGAGAGAGTACGTGGGGATGGAGGGATGGGGAGATGGGCGGATGGGGGCATGGGAGCACGGACCTGTGTGGTGTCGATGGCGATGACGAGTGGCTCGAGGCAAAGAGCAGCCCCACGGAGAGAGTACGTGGGGATGGAGGGATGGGGAGATGGGCGGATGGGGGCATGGGAGCACGGACCTGTGTGGTGTCGATGGCGATGACGAGTGGCTCGAGGCAAAGAGCAGCCCCACGGAGAGAGTACGTGGGGATGGAGGGATGGGGAGATGGGCGGATGGGGGCATGGGAGCACGGACCTGTGTGGTGTCGATGGCGATGACGAGTGGCTCGAGGCAAAGAGCAGCCCCACGGAGAGAGTACGTGGGGATGGAGGGATGGGGAGATGGGCGGATGGGGGCATGGGAGCACGGACCTGTGTGGTGTCGATGGCGATGACGAGTGGCTCGAGGCAAAGAGCAGCCCCACGGAGAGAGTACGTGGGGATGGAGGGATGGGGAGATGGGCGGATGGGGGCATGGGAGCATGGACCTGTGTGGTGTCGATGGCGATGACGAGTGGCTCGAGGCAAAGAGCAGCCCCACGGAGAGAGTATGTGGGGATGGAGGGATGGGGAGATGGGCGGATGGGGGCATGGGAGCACGGACCTGTGTGGTGTCGATGGCGATGACGAGTGGCTCGAGGCAAAGAGCAGCCCCACGGAGAGAGTACGTGGGGATGGAGGGATGGGGAGATGGGCGGATGGGGGCATGGGAGCACGGACCTGTGTGGTGTCGATGGCGATGACGAGTGGCTCGAGGCAAAGAGCAGCCCCACGGAGAGAGTATGTGGGGATGGAGGGATGGGGAGATGGGCGGATGGGGGCATGGGAGCACGGACCTGTGTGGTGTCGATGGCGATGACGAGTGGCTCGAGGCAAAGAGCAGCCCCACGGAGAGAGTACGTGGGGATGGAGGGATGGGGAGATGGGCGGATGGGGGCATGGGAGCACGGACCTGTGTGGTGTCGATGGCGATGACGAGTGGCTCGAGGCAAAGAGCAGCCCCACGGAGAGAGTACGTGGGGATGGAGGGATGGGGAGATGGGCGGATGGGGGCATGGGAGCACGGACCTGTGTGGTGTCGATGGCGATGACGAGTGGCTCGAGGCAAAGAGCAGCCCCACGGAGAGAGTACGTGGGGATGGAGGGATGGGGAGATGGGCGGATGGGGGCATGGGAGCACGGACCTGTGTGGTGTCGATGGCGATGACGAGTGGCTCGAGGCAAAGAGCAGCCCCACGGAGAGAGTACGTGGGGATGGAGGGATGGGGAGATGGGCGGATGGGGGCATGGGAGCACGGACCTGTGTGGTGTCGATGGCGATGACGAGTGGCTCGAGGCAAAGAGCAGCCCCACGGAGAGAGTACGTGGGGATGGAGGGATGGGGAGATGGGCGGATGGGGGCATGGGAGCACGGACCTGTGTGGTGTCGATGGCGATGACGAGCGGCTCGTAGGCGAATAGCAGCCCCACGGAGAGGCGCGGCCAGGGCGACATGACGTTGCGCGAGGCAGAGGGCGAGGAGGCGGGGGACGCCGGGGCGAAGAAAGGCAGCAGACACACAGCACTGGGGAGAAGGGGGGTAGCGGAGTGGGGGAGGAGACGTGGGTGGGAGTACGGACGACGGCTGACGGGAGGCCACATGGCGCAGTGGTGCATGGCCAACGCACATGTGCGAGCAGAGAAACGCGGTGCAGCAGCAAACGAACACCGCAAGGATACGCAACTCGTGGACTTCCTTTCAACATTTTCAAACACAACCCCCGGCCTTGCTGTGGAGGCAAAGGGGCAAGGCAAGCAGAGGGGAGGGCACAGGGCGCTCACAGGAGCAGGTTGGCGAGCAGCACGAGCAGCAGCAGGGCGAGCGTGCGCAGGTGCGAGGAGGGGCTCGCGGAGGGTGACGCACTGAGGCGCTGCGATCGCTCCTTGCCCACCACTCCGAACATCTGAGAGGGGGAGGGAACGGAAGGGGGGCGGGGGTTGAAAGATTGGCGGACACGAGGTGGGGGAACAGGTGCGCTGGCAGGATGGAGGATGGGAAGAGGAAATGGGTGAGAGAGTGGGCGAGCAAGTGGGGGGGAGAGAGGGGGCCATGTTGGTGCTCGGTAAAACAGGGGATCGATCGTGCTTGAGGCGGGAGTGGGCGTCGCTTTGATGGCCGTGACAGCGGCGAACCACAGCAGCACAGCAGCCACGCGGCTCTTGAGACGGTTTGGGGGCCTGGGACTGGGGACTGCGACCCTGCTGGGTCCAGGACGAACGCTCACCTTGATGGCGGTGACCGCGGCGAACCACAGCAGCCACACGGGCTGCACCACCAGCACGTCCACCAGCGATAGCAGCAGTAGTAGCTGTTGGGGGGGAAAGATGCGCCAGGACACCATTGGCCGTGGGAACGTGATAAAAGTGTAGTTTTGAGACATCTCAAAATTACACTATTATGACATGGACACCATTGGCAGAGGGAAGGCGCGTGGCGGATGGCGACGAGGGGTTGGTGCAACCACGGCAAAGGGGAGAAGTCAAATTGAAGGGGATTTGCGTATAGAAGCTGGGCTTGAAGGGCGGTAAGGGGGTTTCACCTTGAAGGAGAAGTGGCCGATGAGTCGCTCCGCCAGCTTGTGCATCTCCAGCAGCGATAGCTCTCCCAGAAACAACTCCTGCGCACCGCACAGCACCACACCGCACCAAGGGCAGCGCCACAGCCGACATAGGCACGGGGACGGAAGTATATGAGAGTTGGAAACTGATAAGGATGAATTATCCAAGTTCCTCTCCCGTTTCCTTCTCCCCTCTTTTTCCACCCTCTCTCTTTCCCGTACTGCCCTACCTTTTCCCCCCTCCTCCCTCTCTTTCCCGCGCTTCCCCCCCCCCCCCCCGCGCGCACCTTAGCGCCGACGACGCCGAGCAGCAGCGCGCAGAGCAGCAGGTTGTAGAGGGCGGCGGCGGACTCGACGGACTCCGACATGTGGCGGAACGACGCCAGCCACAAAGCCGACGCGTCCACCGCCGGCCCCTCAGACGCCGCCACGTGTCCCGCTCCCGCCTGCTCGCTCCCCTGCCTCCCCTCCGCCGCAATCACCTCGCCTCCCTCCGCCCGCGCGCCCTCCCGCCCCACGCTGCCGCTCCCTGCCGCGTTCGCCGCCGCCTCCACCGCCGCCGCCGCCGGCTGCTCCGCTGCCGCTACGGGAATCTGCGCAGCGGATGCCGCCGGGGCCGGTGGATGCGGCTGCAGCTGCGCCGGCGGGAGCGGCGCAGAGGCGGGCCATTGGCGGGCGAGCGAGTGCGCGCCGTGCTGCAGGTGCGCGTGCATGATGTTGAGGTGCAGCCCGAAACAGACGGCGCTCAGCGCCGCGTACGCCGCCAGCGCGCCCGCCACCCACACGCGCGACATCGCTCCGCCCCTCCCCGCGCCCGCTCCACTCAACTCCCTCCGTCTCGTGCCTTGGCGCGTCTGCTTGAGTATTCCCCGCTAAACTAGTGCCTGACGACCGATATAACACCTGCTAATACCTGCTAATAGCTGCTGGTAGTTGCTAATTTGTTTCACGCGACTGGCCTACGAGCCGACATTTAGCTGCTAAAGGCGGCCCTTCTATCATCGTTCGCTCCTCTCCTCGTTTTGGCAGCGACCATCGGAGACAGCAATGTATATCCCTACAGGCTATCGGTATGCCGACAACAGTCGACGATGGCGATGACCCACGACGATACAAGCGACCTTGGACGACTCAAACGACAGCGCGCACGCGAAACTCTAACACACTCACTGGAACCGCGGCAAGCGGCAGGGAAACGCACGACATGAAGGCGAGGGATGAATTGACGATACGCTATTTGCTATGTACAACGCATCTACACAGATGTCAAGAGAGGGAAGCAGACTCGAAGCTAGATATTTTGTCGGTTCTCGGGTGCGTTTGGATTTGGATGGAGGTTGGCGCGCGGAGCAAGCGAGCTCGTTCCAGCCTGCACGACTGCTGCACCTCACCCCACTTTCATCCATCTCCCTCACAAGCTGGGAGTTTCCGCTCTCGTTCCCCGCGAGCAATCGATGTTGGCGGACACGAATAGGCGGAGCAGATGAACCCTCCCAACACGCTTGACCCTGGGAAATCGCGCGCTAGCCTCTTCCGCTCCTCCTCCTTCCTCCCTTTCCCCCGCCCCGCCAACGCTTTCCGCCAGAGCCAAGTTCCTGCCAACAGAGCATGAACCCACGAGGCAGGCATGTGCTCGGTCCCGCCCGCCCTCGGGGTTGGCTGGTTGGGAATTCCGCCGTGTCGCACAGGTTTCAACACATGCACCCCTCATGCGAACCTTTTCTTGACGACTGACTGAACCAGTCACATTGCCGTGCGACATTGCCGAGTGGTTGACCCAGTCCGAAGGATCGCCCACATTCGCACGACCACTCTGCTAGGAGGACCATGCGTTTCGTCAGGGAAAGGGAATTTCGGTGGGAAAGATCATACCGAAAATCGTTATAGACAGCTTCGTAAAACTATATCGAATTAGAACTACGACCATACAAAAGAATATAGTGCTTCATATCGAAGCACTAACACTACCTAGCATGCTACTGATTTGCTAAATTTATGCCAGCAAGAGAGGTCTGAAGCAACGAGCGCGTTGCCTAGGTGCCTCTAGGTTGGAGATAAGGTGCTGGCATATGCGAGCAATGCATGAATGGATGCGGGTGAGCATGTCGTTGTTAGACGGGGCAGACGCCGAGAGCGTCGATTGGCAGAAATTGAGGATTCCACGCAGGTCAGAAGCTGACAAGTCAGTGCGTTTGCACGCAGCCTGAGACACAAGAAATGCAGCAAGCAGCACAGCAGTGAGTCAGAAAGCAAGAGACACGCAACGTCAGTGCCCTGTGGTAAGCAAGAGCCAGTCCAAAGGGTAAGGGCATGAACAATCAACAGTAATCAAAGTACCTGAACGAGCAGCAGGGAGGCGAGGCATTGCTGCATGACCGTCCGCACATCCCCTGCCGCACCAGAAGCCCGGACCTGCCCTTCGGCGCCTCCACTGCCACAGCCTTCCCTCTCCTCCCTCCGACCCCTTTCCTCCCTCTCCCCTCCCCCCACCCCATGCGCCACCGCTGCTTCATGCAGCCCCTCCTTCCCTGCCCCCCCTTCCCCACCATCACCTGCACGCGCAGTGCTGTCTGGAGGGGAGGTGGGAAAGGGGGAGGAGGCGGGGGGGCGGAGGGTGTGAGGGGGCGGTCTGGCCTTGGTGGTGGAGGACCGGTGGGGGCTGATCACATGCACTGCTGCACCCGCTGCTGCTGCCGCTGGTGCCGCTGCTGCTGGTGCTGTGGGTGCATCAGGGGAGCAGGTGGCGGGGGGGAAGACAGACAGGGTGGCTGAGGGGGAGGCGAGGGGGAGGGAGGGGGGGCTGGCGGCGGAAGGGGGGGAGGGGGAGAAGAGCACTCGGTGGTGGTCTGGGGAGACAGCAAGTGAGGGAGCTGAAACAGCAGCTGTTGGCGCCAGTGCAGTGGCGGGTGTGGCAGGGTCGGCAAGGCCGCCTCTCTCCTTGTGTTGGCCTCCACCATCGCCTTCCCTCCTCTCCCCCTCTTCTGCCGCTGCCCCTAGCGCTAGCCTGCCACCACTGCCCGTTGCAGCGCCCGCAGCACCCCCACCCGTGACTGCCGCAGCTGCGGCAGCAGCAGCTGCAGCCGCTGCTGCGTCGGCACCAAAACGGGTACGAGTGTCGACAGCAGCAGGTGGAGCAGCAGCATGTGGGGCAGCGCGAGCATCGAGGGCATCACGGCCGGTGGTGACAGCATCGGCCTCAGAGCCCCCTGTGGTGCCCGTCGTCACTGACAGCCCCCCCTCCTCCGATGCACACAGCAGCCCCCTCGCCCCCACCCCCTCCTCCCACCGCCCCCCTGCTCCCTCTGCTCCCTCTGCTCCGCCTGCTCCCCCTGCCCCTGCTGCTCCTCCCCCTGCCCCTGGCACGGGGCAGGGGTGCTTGCCAGGGCTTCTGAGGGCGGGTCCCTGGGGGGTGAGCTGCAGCAGACGGTAGCGCGACGCGTGGGGGGGTGGGGTGCTGGCAGGGTGGGTCACAGGGCGCAGCGCGTATGGAGGAACTGGTGCAGGGTGTTGTAATGCGGTGTGGTGCGGTTCAGTGCAGTGTGGCATGGTGTCTGCATCAGCTGCAGCTGCAGCAGATGGGAGCGGAGGCCCGGCAGGGGAGGGTGATGGGTGGTGGTGTTGTTGCTCTGGTGCCTGTTGGGTTGCCTGTGGTGGTCCGTGTGGATGCAATGGCTGCATTGGAGCAGTGGCAGGAGCAGCGAAAGCAGTGAGAGCCGCAGGAGGCATGGCGGTGGGTGGGGGGATACCAGGTGGAGGGGTGAAGATGGGTGGAGCCGAGGAGGGGAACTGAGGTGGGGAAATGTGTGGCGGAGGGAGGGAGGAAAGGGCCTGGGAGAGGAGCAGCGAGGGGTCAGCGGTGGGCGGGCAGAGGGAGAGGGCGTGCAGGGCAGCGGCCACCATGGCATGCGCCCTCTGCTGTGCCGCTCCTATCATCTGGTGCACCCCCGCTGACACCTCCCCGCTGGCACCCTCCTCTTCCCCTCCCACTGCCCTCCCTCTCTCGCTCACCACCCCTTGGAGGATTCCCTGACCCTCCTGCTCCGTTTTCCCCCCTTCCCCTCCGCCCACACCCCTCTCGCTCCCCGGTCTGCATGCTGCACCTACCCCTGGAGCCCTGCCCGGCTCATCCCAGCGTGCTGCAGCTTTGCCCTCCTCCTGCGCCTTCCCCATCGCTTCTCCCATCTGCCCACTCCCGTCCGCTGCTGGCGCTGTTGCCGCTGCTGGTGCTGCCGCCAATGCCACCGCTGCTGGTGCTGCTTCTGGTACTGCTGTTAGTGCAGCTGCTTGAGCCGCTAGTGCTGCAGGTGCTGCTGCCACCTCAGTCGGTGCAGGGGCAGGGGCTATCAAGAGATGTGGCACGGGTGCAGGGGGAAGGGTGGGTGGAAGGGAAAGCGGAGGAAGAGAGGGGGCTTGGGGCGGTGGGGGGATGAGAGGAGGGAGGCGCAGAGGCGCGTTGGCGAGGGCAGTGTGGGAGGAGGAGGCAGTGAGGAGGCGGGCAGCGGAGATGAGGGGGGAGGGGATGGGGGAGGCGAGGAGTGGGGGGGCGGCAGGGGAGGGCAGTAGGCGGTGTGTGGGGTGGGGCGAGGGGAGGAGGGAGGGCGAGGGGCGGGGGAGGGCGGGGTGGAGGAAGCGGTTGCGGCTCCTGAGGGCTTGCAGGGCCTCGTCCAGCTGAGAGGGGCACGAAAGGCATGGGAGGGGCACGGCGGCATGGGATCGGACGGGGTGCATTGTGGCATGAGATGGAAGGCATGGCATGGGATGGGATGCACTGGATGGTGCGTACGACAAGAGGGAAGAAGGGAAAGAAGGCATTGAGAGGAATGCAAGAGACGTTGGGCGCACATGCACCTATCACCACTGCTCACCTGCTTGTCCGTGTCCCTCAGCTGCAGCAGCACCACTGCATACTGCCGCTGAAACGACTCATCCAACCCCACCCCTCCCTCCGCCACACCCCCTGCCTGACCCCCCTCTCCCGTCCTCCCCTGCTGTGTCCCCAGATTCCCCAGCTGCTCCAATTGCCCCAGCAGCCCCTCTGCGTGCGCGTTGAGCCACTGCAGCTCCGCCAGCAGCGCCGCCTGGGCGACAACAGCATAGTGGATGGGGGGAGACGGGAGGGACGGGACGGGCGACACGGTTGGCAGCAGGGAGGGGAAAAAGGGGAGAGACGGGAGAGAAGGGAAGGGGAAGGAAGAAGAGGGGGTGAAGGGGAATAGAGTTAGAAGGCAGCTCGGTGAAACATGTCAAGGAGAACTCTGATGAATCCCGTCAGTATCGCCCCTCACCTTCTTGTCACAGCAGCGTGCCACCTCCACCACAGCATGCACGTCCTGCTCCCTCGACTGCCCCGTCTCCCCTGGACTCCCCGCCACCACCGCGGCTGCCAGCGGCCTGTGCGTGGGCGTCTTGAACGACTCTCCTGCACCAGCCGCACCCACAGCAGCAGCAGCAGGTGCAGTGGCAGCGGCAGGGGCAGGGGCTGAAGCAGGGGCAGGAGATGTGGGAGGGAGGCAGCCGTTGAGATCCAAATGACCTGGCCCGCCCTGCCATGCATGCTGCAGCGACCCATGTAAACCATCCATACTCTGCACTGCTGGGTGCGAGCCGTGCATGCCCTGCATGGGCAGGCTCATCATCTGCATGCCCTGGTGTGGCGGGTTCATCCCGCCATGCAAGCCCTGGTGTGGCGGGTTCATCCCGCCATGCAAGCCCTGGTGTGGCGGGTTCATCCCGCCATGCATGCCATGCAGGGGCAGCACATCCACGTCCACATCAGCCACCGCATGTGTGCCCAGCTGCCCCTCCTCAAACCGCACCACCACCACCTCCCCTTCCCCCCACCCCTCCCCATGCCCCCTTCCCTCCCTTTCCCCCCCACGCCCCACGCCCACCACCCTGCCTGCTGCCACCACGCCCGTGCCAGGGTGCACTGCCAGTACCGCCTCCCCCACTTGCACCTGGCCACCCCCTTGCGCAGCCACTCCTGCAGGCGCACCAGCAGCAGTGGCGAGGGCGGCGCGGGCAGCAGCACGGAAAGCGTTGAGGTTGGCCCGTTCCTCTGCCAGGAAGGCGGGGGAGAGGCGGCGCGGCTTGCCCATGGCGCTGGGGGGATGGGAGGCAGGGGATTTGGGAAGGGAGGGGGGAGGAAAGGGGGTAAGGGGGAAGCGGGGAGAGGAGAGGAGGGTGGGATGAGAAGGCGATAAGGTTGGCCCTTTCCTTGGATAGGAAGGTGGGGGAGAGGCGGCGCGGCTTGCCCATGGCGCTGGGGGGATGGGAGGGGGGACAGGGGATGCAAGGGGGACAGGGGGAGAGTGGTGAGATTGGCAAACGGGTGGGTTGAGAAGGGAGGGTTGCAGGAAGCGTGGAGGGACGGCGGATGTGCACGTGAAATTATTTGAGGGCGAGACTGAAGCTAAGGGGATGGGGCAGGGTAGAGGAGCAAGGGGCCAATGATAGGCAGGCTCACGAGCACTGGGGCCGGCAAAGAGTGCGAGGGAAGAAGGCTTCAAGCGAGGCATGCCCACCAGGGCGCTGCAGTGTTAACAATCATCAGCGACATGTGCAGCCAAGGAGAGGCGCAAGCACTCACCAGCGCAGCAGGCGCCAGAGCGTGCGCGGGAGGGCGGTGGGAGGCGGGGCGGCGAGGAGGGCGAGGCAGCAGTGGAAGTCGCTGTGGCGGAACCAGGGGCAGTCGATGACGCTGTACAAGAACTCACACCGCGCCCACTGCAGCACTGCCAGGCACATGGGTGGTGGGGGGAGGAGAGCACCATCCACCCCATCCCTTCCCTCCCTGCCTTCTCTCCCCTCCTGCCACATCTCCACGCGCCTCTTCCTCCTGCCTGCCCCCCGCGCTGCTACACGTGGCGCTCTGCCCCACGTTTCTCCTCCCCTCTCTGATGCTTGGTGTTGCTGAAGTGGCGGCACGTGTTGCCCAGGCTGATGTGGCATGGGCGGCCACGTGGCATCCGCCCTCTGCTCCCCTCCCCCCTGCTGCGCGCCCCCATACTCCCCCCCGTCCCCTTGCGGACCGCCCATGGGGAGGGGCAGGAGCAGAGGAGCAGAGTGCAGGGGGAAGGCAGTGTGGTTAGGCGCAGGGTGCATGGGGAGCAAGGGGAGCATGGGGGGAGTGGAGGGCGTGGGGGTTATGGGCGCAGCAGGTATGGAAGGAGGCATTTGCAGCAACAGGGGCCCTGGCACGGTTGAGAGGTGTGGGGCGGGTGGCGGGAGGGATGCAGAGGGGCGGGGGGAGAGGGGCAGGGCGGATGGGAGGCGGAGGGAGAGAGAAGGCGAGGAGGAAGGGGAGAGAGGATAGGTCAGCAGATTAGTCCTAGAGCCCATGGTAGGAGCTGCTGCTGCTACTGCTGCTGTTGCTGTGGTGGCAGCAGTGTGTTGGGAGGGTGGCAGCAGCGGCAGCAGCTGTGCCGTAACTGGCCGTTGCTGCTGCTGCTGCTGCTGCTGCACATGCCCCCCTGTATCTGCTGCACGTGAGTCTTGAGCCATCCCAACATAACCCACCGGACTCACCCCGCTGCCTGCACCCTCCCTGTCGTCTCGTCCCATCAAATCGAGGACCACCCTCTCCTCCTCCACTCCACCCTCCTGCCCCTTCCTCTTCTCCTTCACCCCTCTCTCCTTCCCCTTCTTCCTCTCCCTCGCCCCAGCATCCTTCCCCTTCCGCCTCTCCTTCCCCTGCTCCCCACCAGCCCCACGTGGCCCTGCAGCAGCAGGGGGAACCGGGGGAGGCACGGTAGGAGGGGCGGAGGGAGCGAGGGAGTGGGGAGGCAGAGGGTCATGCTGCTCCGCACCCTGCACTTGCCCCTCCTTTACCTTCTCCTGCCCCTTCTTCTCGCCCTGTCCCACTTCCTCCCCCTTCCTCCTCCCCTTCACAGCCCCCTTGGACCCCCCTCCCGCTTTCCCCCCCCCACCTCCTCCTCCCCCCCCTCCCCCCTGCTGCCGAGCCACCTCCCCTCCCCCGACCCTCTTCGCCCCTTCCCCGGCCGCCCTAGCCTCGCCCCCCGCCTGCCTCGCACCCCCTGCCCCTTTTCCCGCAGCTCCCACGGCCCTGCCGCTGCTGACCTGTGCGCCACCACTGCCAGCCACCACAGGCACTGACCCGCCTTTGCCCGCCACTGCACTGCTGCCCGCCCTGCTGCTGCTGCTGCTGCCGCTGCCAGGTCTGCTGGTGGTGGCGCTGGCGTGTGCGGCTGCAGCGTGCTGGAAGCGCCGCAGCATGTCGTCTAGAGGGTCTGCCTCCCTTGCTGTGCCCACTGCACCTGCTGCAGGTGCAGCACCCACAACCATGCCTGCACCTGCAGCTTCACTCACTCCACCTGGCATGCCACCTGGCATGGCACCTGGCACGGGCGGCAGCACGACACTGAAGGCGCTCGGCCGAGGGGGCCGCACTGCCGCCGCTGCTGCTGCTGCTCCAACTGCTGCCGCTACTCCTGCTGCTGCTGCCGCTGCAGGCATGGCAAGGGCAGGAGCACCAAAGGGCATGGCGGGCGTGGGAGGAAGGGCGCGGAAGGGGACTGCGCCAGGCAGAGGGGGTACTGGCGGTGGTGGAAGCAGAGGGTAGGGGGCGGGCACAGGGAGCGAGGCGGGAGGGCGAGGCCGACCTGTTGCCTGCTCCGGCTGGCTGCTTTTGTCCTTATTCGCCCCGCCTCCTTCCTTCCTCTCATCGCCCCCTCCTGCCCTGGTCTTCTTACTCTTCTTCACCTTTCTCAGCACAGGCCCTGCCCCTCTGGCCGCCTCCCTGCTGCCCTGCGCCCCTTCTCCCGACCTCGCCTCACCCTGCTTGCTGCCTGCTACGCGCTGCTTCCCTGCACCAGCTCCTCCGCCCTCCCCCTCCGCCTCATGCCGTTGGCTCGGCTGCGGGGCAGGTGGCAGGTGGTCTGAGGGTACCCGGGATGGCATGGGGCGGACACGGGGAGGGGAGATAGTTGTATCAAAACGATGGCACGAATTGCCCTGCATGTGTGTGGAAGAGCATAAATCACAACCAGTGTGAGCAGCAGAGGTGGGAGAGCAGCAGCAGTGGGAAACACAGTGCAAGTGCACAAGGGCCCATTCGTACCGGTGGCTGCACCCCCAGCAGCAGCAACAGGAGGGGCTGCAGGGGCGCCCACAGCAGCGCTGGCAGCAGGGGCGGCAGCGGCATGAGCGGCGGCAGCATGGTTGTTGGCGCGCGCCATAGCTGTCAGAGACAGGTCTGCCAACGTGGCCAGGGCATCCAATCCGGAGCTGCCACCTGGCAAGGGAAGGGAACGAGGAATTCATGTGAATGGTGGTGCATGGTGCATAATGCATGCTGTGTGGTGGAAGCTGGAAGGGGCTGGAGTCTTATCATGGCGCCATTTCACTCGTGCTGTGCAGGCGAAGCATCCCGTGTGCTCCGCACCCCTCCGCTCACATCTCTCACTCACCGTGGAAAAGGCTGCTGGCATGCTCCCCCCCTCCACTACCCATGCCCTCCTGCATCCCCTGCCCCGCTGCTCCCGCTTCGCCCCTCGTAGCCCCTTCTCCCCCTCCATCTCCATCTCCCCCAACTCGACCCCCTTCTCCTGCATGCTGCCCCGCCTCCCTCTCCACCCCAGCGTGCGCGCCACCCACCGCCTCCCCTCCCTGCCCACCAGGCCCGCCCCCCACCTCTGCCCCGCCTGCGACCCCCTTCCTCTTTGCCTTTGCCTTGCGCTTGCCCCCCTTCCCTTCCTTCACTTCCTTCCCCTCCTTCTCCCGCTTCCCTTCCTTCCTCTCCTCACCACCCTTCGCCTCCTTCTCCTCACCACCGCCCTTCTCCTCTCTCCTCTCCTCATCCCCCCTGCCCTTCTCCTCACCCCCCCTGCCCTTCTCCTCCTCGGTCCCTGCTCCCTTCTCCTCTCCACGCCCCTGCATCCCTGCCAACCTGCCACCACCCGTCGCCCCACCTGCCTCATCTGCTCTGCTCTCTTCCTCCCCCGCCTCCTCCTTCTGGGCCCCTGCCTTCTCCTCCTGTTCCTGCTGCTGTGGCCGCAGTGACACCCGCACACCAGCATTCGCCTCAGAGCGTCTCTTCTCGTCCTCCTCTGCCGCGCCTCGCCCTCTCGCCCCCACACCACCCACCACAGCAACCGCTGACCGAGCCTTCTTAGGTGTGTGCGACCCCACACCCCTCTGCCTGCTCGCTACTGCTGTCACCCCCACACCCCACTCCCCCTGCCTGCCCTCGTGCCCTGCCCGCCCCTCCTCCTCCCCTCGCTCCCCTTGCCCGCGCCCGCCAGCTTGCCTTCCCTGTGCACGCTGTCTCACATCTGCGCCACCCTCCTTCCCCCCACCCTCCCCTCCGCCCCCATTCCTCCTGCCCTCGCCCTGCTCCTCCTCCTCCAGTTGCCTCTTCCTCTGCCCCACCCTGCCGCCTCCCCTCTCTCCCCCTTCCCCCGCTCTCTCCCCTTCCCCACCTTCCCCCCGTTCCCCCCCTCCCTTGCCCGCGCCACCAGGCACGTGCGCCCTGCGACTGCGTTTGCCCCGCGACCACAGAGGGGCGGCTGATGGCAGAGGAGGGGGGAAGGGGAAGGGGAGCGGGATAAAAGGGGGGAAGGGGAAGGCGAGCGGGAGAAAGGGGAGAAAGGGAGGGACGGAGGGGGAGGGGAGAAGAGGTAAAGGGTTGCAAAAAACAGGGGTTGGATGTTTAGAAGAAAGGAAAAGAGAATTGAGGAGAGGCATTGAGAAGCATGGACACACACACACCTGCTGACTGCCTTCCAACCCCTGCTGCTGCTCCTGCAACCGCCTCCTGCATATCCCTCCCTTTAACAGCGCCATCGTTCCCTCCCCGCCCCGCACTAGACCCCGAGCTTCTCCCCACGCTCCACTGCTGCCCCTCCTGCTCCTCCGCCCCTTGCTCCGCACTCCCCTCCTCTGCGCCCCGCTTCACCTCCCTCCTCCTGCCCTCACTCCGCCTTCCACTGCCCGCCACATCACTCCCCTCCGCTCCCTCCCCTGCCTGTTGTCCCCCTCTCTCCCCCCGGCTATGACCCATGCTGTTGGTCCTGTGTCTGGTGAGAGGCCGGTGATACTGCACCCTTGCCTCACTCTCACTCTCGCTCCTACTCTCCCTCTCCCTCTCACTCTCACTCGCACTCGCTCCCACACTCGCACCCTCACTGCCACTGCCCCGGTCACTCCGGAACCCAACACTGCCCCCCTCCCCTTCCCCTTCCCCCTCCCCCTCCCCCTCCGCCTCACTCCCACTCTCACTAAGAATCCCGCCCCCCCTGCTGCTACGGTGCACAGCGCGTCCCCGCCGTCGCCCCACGGGGGGAGTGACAGAGGCGGCCTGGCTGCCGTGGTCCTGCCCCCCTCCCCCTGCCTGCACTGCCAGCCCTGCCGCCTGCCCCTCGTCCGCTGCCTGCGGGTGCTCTGCCGCCGCCTCGTGCTGGACGCGCAGTCAGGGGGGTGTGGGGGAGAGGGGGCATGGGGGAGAGAGAGAAGGGGCAAGAAACAGTGTTGGCAGGTGCAATGGTGGTAGCTTGCGAGGAAGAGAGCAAGCGGGGGGTGGGAGGAAGTGGGTGGCGTGTGCAGGGAAAGTGCAGCGGCATGAGGAGGCAAAAGAACAGAGGCAACGCAGACAAGGAGCAGGCAGGCATGGGGGGCATGTAAAGGTGGGGGGTTGCCAGGCGAGGGGCGTACGAGCATGGAGTAGTGGCAGGGGAGGGAGGGGCGTACGAGCATGGAGTAGTGGCAGGGGAGGGAGGGGCGTACGAGCATGGAGTAGTGGTCGGTCATCATGGCCACCAGCCCCACCGCCGATGCTGCTCCCTCTGGCAACGACAGGTACGCCTGTGGTGACGCGGGCAGCACACACGCAGAACCAGAACAGAGTGTGATTTGAGAGCAGAGTAGGGGACTTGGGAACTGTACTTGCAGGGATGCAAGATTCTCACTGGAGAGCCATTGGATACTTTTCACAGCGAGATCGTACGGCTGAGGGCGAGTGGGGGGCGGACTGACCCTGTTCATGTTGAAGAGCGCCTCCGCCATCTCCTCTGTTCGCCCCGGTAACTCCGCCACCACCTGCATGCACCCAGCAATGAGCATTGCACCGGACAGGCATCGCCATTCACCACGCACGGCACACAGCAGCCATGGATCACCAAGCAGGAAGGACCATCGACAGATTATTATAAACGGTTCTGATTGAGCTTTATGGCCTGGAGGCTAGATCAGGTGCCTCATGGATTCAGGTGCATGGCTGGATCAGGTGATATATGCTGTGCGAACGAGGGTGACCGTGATACTAGCGAAACCAGCTGCTGAAGTGACGTCACCCATCCACATACACGCCCACCCGTTCCTTCCCCGCGACACCTTCCCCCTCTTCCCCCTTATTTCAGGGAAATTCTTCCTCACCCCCCCCCGCCCTCCCTTCCCCCACCTTGCGCCAGTTCTTCCCCTCGGCGCGCAGCAGGCGGTAGAAGGCGCGCAGCTCGCCATCGCTCCACACGGGGCCCAGCCGCTCCACCAGCTTGCGCCGCTGCGGTCGGAAGGGGAAGGCGGGGACGGGGGAGGGGGGGGGGAGGAGGCAAAGGGCGGAACTCGTGACGCATGTGGCGTGAGGACCAGGTCGGGCGGCGACTCTGTGCGACGGACCCACGCCAAGTGATTGAGTCGGCTTGCGACAGGTAGCGGCACCTTGGTGGTAACGCGAAATGGGAAGACGCGAGTAACGACGTGGATCATGCTAGGAAACCCTCGAATCAGACATGCTCGCGACGAATCGAACAATCAAGAGATGCGAGCGATGACACGAAGTACGCAAAGGACAAGGTGGAGGATGCGAGCGCTGAACTCGAACGACGCCGTGCAGGTGACGCTTGAGGCGATGAAACAGTCTCCTCCATAAAGACCGGACTACACCGCAGAAAACCAGAATCTAAAGGTTTAAACGCAATCTCGCCTTGTGTCGCTGCGCATGGCGAGCGTCGGCGGCGCGCGGCTGAGCGTGCGCTCTCGACTGCGAAGAGGTCTTTCTGTGCGGCGCCATGGCTGACCGCGCCCCGCTACCCGCTAAGTCACGATTCAAGGCGCGACATCGCGAGAATAATTATCGTTTTGCTAAGCGGAAAGTCGGTCTCATACCGAAGGCTGACAGTAAGCGAGGCGCGGAACTAAAAGAGTTAATTACAATTGGTGTGAAAAAGTTGGGCATCAAGTTGAGCCAGGCGAGGCAAGCGCATCTAAGGGAAGTTGGCTGAAGTGAGGCACAATCGAGGTGATGGTACTGTGCTGTGCTGCAGGGACAGGCAGAGTCGTAGTGATGGAACAGAAGTGAGGGAAGGGGATAGGGGAGGAAGAAAGGGCAAGACGCGGCAAAAGCAAGGAAGCAAGCAGGCAAGCAACCAACCACCCGTTTATCTCTCGGGATTGCCTTCCCGCGCCTTTCCTTCCGGCCCCCGCCCACAGCAAATTTGAATCAAACCCTCAGCGCGCTCTGCCCGGTACTCGCGAAATCGCGGGAGATCGCCACCTTCGCTTCAGTTACATCAGCGAGAAAGATGGAATATTTCGATAGAGTAGCTGACTCTGAAACATTATCTCTACAATATGCAAAACAGGCATTGAAACAATCCACCCTTTTATTATTTCTTACAAAAACACAAGCACTGCAGGTGCTATTCTCATGCAAAATACACACAAACTGATAAAGAAAACCCTTAATTTAAAATGTGATGCGGACAATCATTCTTTGGCAGCTGCCTCTATCTCATTGCGCCATCTCCGATAGTGCACACCGAGCTTGTCGTAAAGTACAGGGTGGTTCCACACATTTGCACCACGTCTCATCCTGTCCTGCTGCCCTACCACCAAACGCAAGTCCTCGTCCAGCACCTGCTCAAGCATTGGCAGACAAAATGGCATTTGGTCAGTCCTGAGCAAGCATATTTCATCAACAGTAGCTGGACATGGAAGAATTCTGACTTTCAAGGACATTTTGAATCAGACAAATATTATGAAAACACGGAGGCCACAGCTCACCTGGTTAGCCAGAGACTTCCACAGTCTGTCGATGAAAGGCACAAACTTGACCCACTGGGCAAAGTCAAGCCCCATGCGGTAGAGCAGCCGTGTCTTGCCGCGTGACGACGGCAGGCAGGCGTGCAGCTGGTACAGATGCTGCGTGCACTCCTGCGCGCTGGCCTCCCCCTCCAGCTGGCCCGGCTTGACGAGCCCGATGGTGGACACCACCACGCAGGGCGGGCGGAACTCCATGGCGATGGGGTACGGGTCCCAGTGGCCCTGCAGTGCCTGCGCTGCTGCCGACTTGAAGCGAACCAGGCTGCCACAGGGAAGCACAGAGGAGAGGACAAGAGGAAAATGTTAACCTCCAAGGCAGTGAGGAGTCAAGTGCAGGGGGTGCAAGTCACGGGCACACACTGACCTGGGAACGGACCAGCCCTTGGCGAAGGTGGTGGTGTGTGTGAAGGGCGCGTGGGCAAGGTCCAGGAGATTCTCCACCAGCAGCCCGTGCTCCACCGGCAGCTCTATCACTATCTGCAGGATGGCAGCACGAGTGGGGCAAGCAGGCAAATACGTACTTGAGCATGGCATCATACCACAGCAATCAGGCAGTGGTGCACACGAGCTGGCACTACCACAACAGCACTGAACGCCATCCACTGCAAGTCTTTCTCTGCTCTGACAGGGCCTGCAGCAGTGTGGCCCTGAGGCTCACCTCGGCGTGCACAGTGTAGGAGGGGGGCGGCATGGTGGAGGGCAGGGTGTCGGTGGGCGTGGCAGTGCCGGGCCACACCCAGATCATGCCCTCGTGCTCCACACACGGCAGCGCTCGCACTCGCACGTTGGTGAGGCGCGTGGACGGCATCTTGGTGCACTGCCCGTCCGGCTTGAACTCCCACCCTGCCAGGCCACCACGGGAGGGGCGTTGGCTTAGGTGGCTTAGGTACAGACAGACACCATATGACAAGGCAGGCTACAGCAGAAAGTGGTAACACCCTGAAAGAAGTGAACAGTGGCATGGATGTGTGGGTGAAGACGCCATACCGTGGTAGGGGCAGACAGCATGGCCTTCCACCACAGTGCCGATGGAGAGAGGGCATGCCCTGTGCGCACACTCGTCCCGGATGCACCCCGGCTTGCCGTCTGGGCCCCTGAACACCACCCACGGCTCCTCGAAGCAGTCAAACGGAATCTGTTGGAATGGCAGCGGGTGATGGGGATCACATCAGCCGGTGGCAAGTGAGTGACATGTTGCAACGGATGGAGGCTAGAAGTCAGCATGCCGAGAATGCACCTGGCCCCACAGCATCTACCCGCACACAGCCACGCAGCATGCACCCCTGCACGAGCGGCCGCCACGCACCAGCGTGGAGGCGTCGACGTCTTTGGAGAAGGCGACGGGGAACCAGAAGTTTTTGAGCGTCGACGCGTACTTGGGCAGCGGCCCCGACGTGTCCAGCTTCGTGCGCCGCGGGGCCTTCCCCTTCCGCTTCCCCTCCCCCACGCGCCCCTGGGACGCCGCCGTCTCAGCGGCGCTCTGCAGCTCCGCGGGCTCCGCCGCCAGGATCGCCTCCGCCTTCTCCACCACTGCCAGACTCCCCTCCGCGCGCCCTCCGCTAGCACTCGGCGCGCTACCCTCCGCCGCGTCCCCCTGGCTGCTGCTGGATTCCCTGGGAAGGGGGTCGACGACGCGCGTGGTCTCCACGAGCGACTCCAGCTCCGCCATCCGGTCCAGCGTCTGCCGCACGCGAGTCTCCGACGCGCGCACCTGCGCACACAGGCCCGAGGCAGACCGGCGCGGACGGGGATGACAGGGGGGGCGGTTGAGTGTACGGATGGCAGAACGGCGGGTTGAGGAACTGAAATGGCTAGGATGGGGAATGGGAGTAGGCATGGGGACGCTGAGGCATGGGGAAAAGCGTGATGCTGGGATGGGTAAGCGGGGCGCACCTGTGCGCGCGCAGCGGCGAGCTCTTGCCGCATGTGCTGCAGCTGCTCCTCGAGGGACACGAGGGACTCCGTGTCTGACGTGGACTCCAACGACGCCACGAACACGCCCGCCGCTACCCGCCGAGCCTGCACGCGCACACGATGCCGTTAGCGCTACTGCACGCTACGTTACGATAACGACGCTACTCGCACTACGATGCGGTGATGGAAAACGATGAGCGGAATACTGCTGTCTCGCACCTCGTCCTGTTCGTCGCTCTGATCCCCACGCGGCACTCCAAACAGCTCCCCCGCGCTCTGCAATGCGTCCGCCACCGCGGGTGCTGGCCAGTGCGCCACCTACGGTAACGGGAAGAGCAATGGAATATGCGGCGATTAGCAACGGAATTATGGGAACAAGCAGCCTGGCGCAAATCGACTAGATCTGAATTAGCAGCACTCTTAACCAGCGACGGAATGACGAATCCGGGTTACAAGGCGTGGCACGTGCGATTGCAAGGCAGGGCGGGTCAGCGATACCTGTACTGCTGCTTTGCCCCCCACGGCACGAGATTGAGCCGCAATTAGACCAAACCGAAGATCAAAACCTGCCGCCTGGTCTGACCCATCCAACGACCCCTGAAATCGAGAATACGTGGTAAGGGACAAGTCTGATGTGAGAAAGCTGCGATGAGGCGAAGAGGAGTTTAAAAATGGGGTAACGACTCAAAGATTTACGAAGCAAAGGGACGTACGTTGAGGGCAGCGCAGAGAGCTGGTAATAGCCCGGCAGCCGGGACGGTGGCCTCGAGCCAGACATGCGATCCACGTGCCTGCAGAGGCGGGGGCGATGAGAGAGGAGAGCGGTTGTGAGAGGGAACAGCAGTCAGGAGACGACAACGGCCATTGAGAAGCCTCAGAACCTTTGAATGTGACACGTCACCTCGCAGGAAGAATAAGGGCACCTGGATCTGGAGCGGTTCTTGGACGTCGGCGGGGTCAAGGCGAAGCACAGACGCTCGCACGGCCTGTGAGGGGAGTAAGCCGAGTTGAAGCGGGCAAAAAAAAAGGCAAAGATATGGTGTTTCACATGTCCCGCATCGCAATTTAAACGGACCGTGCTGAAGGGAAGCGGAAACGGTAAACACCAAGAATGAACACGGTTAAAAGATGACGGTAACCCACCCGTAGGAGCTGGCAGAAATCGTGACATTCCCTGGCGTTCATCGCCAGACTCCATCCCTCTCCACCGACCTGGAATATGGCCAGTCGGAGAAAGAAGAAAGGGACCGAATAGGATGCGGTGGGTAACAACTCGCACGGTTAACGACGACTAAGTTTCTTAAGGTTCTAGAGTAACGAAAGCGAGCAGCAATGGCTGAATACTACACTGAGGATTCCTATTTGAGTCCGCACCGAAGCAGCAAAACTGTCGGTTGAGTTGGGTGATGCCTCATAAGCCACACGCCACCCCTCCCCTTGAACCAACCGGAACTCTGCCTCCGGAGCAACCTCTTGCGTCGAGCAGCCTGAAAGGAGGATGCAACGAAAAGCGATTTAGCCGGTGATGCCGGATTGAGACGACGGCGAGATCGAGAAGGGACACAAAGTCCAAGGCTTCACCTGTCAAATCGCACGTAAGCCATGCACCGTCTGCGTGGGTAAGTTTGGACCCGCTGTCGTATGATAGGACGAGCTTATTTGCTTGGCGAATGGAAGCCTTGTCTCCCGCATTTTGACTGCTGAGGCTCATCCGAACTACTCTAGATGAAGAAACATCCTGTTTTTTGGCAAATCTTCTGTCACTACGCAAGGTGCGACCTCCTAGACCAGAATGGCTCGACGACAGACATGCCGTTCGGGACGCGGTGGTACGCTTCGAGGGACGGCTGGCACCGCCATGGACAGGCTGCTTCGTGAAGCCTACTCGCTGAACCGTGGAAGCCGCTAGAGAATTCATGGCAACACGCGAGTATGGCCTCCTCTACGCACAGGAGCAGTTGCCCTTCCTGAATGACATCAACCAGGAAAAGGATCCAAGTTAGGATAATTCGTTGAAGAAATAGGTCTCCGAATGCGACCAGGGTCACTGAATGATGAGGGATAGATTAGGATGGTCCCGTCAAGGTGTGTGGTGTGGAGTGGAACAGTCAGCTTGCAGAAGGCGAGCACACACGGGGGAGGGGGAATGATGGTGGTGGTGGTGGCGCTGTTGCTGTACTTTGTCGCAGAGGGAGAGGATAACCAATCAGAGGCCTGTTGCGAGGGGAACTATGCGAAAGTTGTTGGAGAAGTTACGACTTTCTCGTGGACAGCAACGGATTCGTTGCTGGGATCTTTCGCCATCCTTGGGTGCGTGAATTCATCGGGGCGCCCAAGAACGTACAGTTGTTGACACGCGATCCCTTTTACGTGACATGATTGGATAGATGATTCTATCAGGATCCCGAGATGACCTCTCAAAGAAGTGAGCTCAGCACCGCGGATTGCTGGCTTCATTGCAACATGGATGGGGCGAAGGGAATGCGTTGACGACACATGCCTGCATACAAGCTGAGGAAGCCCTGCATTCAAAAGCAGTTGCTACACATCATTATAAGATGTATAACATGGATTTACTGTAAAACTCTTTTATGTACAATCAGGCCCCCAGATTGGTTTTGGGAGTGTATGAATAAAGGAACATCACAGCTCAACGACGCAAATATAGCATGTCAATAATTTGTATGTGAGATTTTGTTAGAAACGTCCTTGGCCACCTGGAACATTCAATACACTGGTCAGTCATATCATATGGTCGTTTACAATACATTAAAAGGTGCAGTTACCTATGAGAGTGGCAGGTGGCCGACTGTGAAGCTGGGATTTACTTCAGTTACATCACATTGGCCATTGTCAAACATTGATACTAAACCGGATCACCTTCTAGCAAGACAATGTCCCCAACAAAACTCGTTCCAACCTAAAGCCCTGCTGATCTAGGGACCCCCACAATGGCTCCGTCTGCCCCTGTCCAAACAACTTTTACCAAGGCAGCTTATGTCGGGGATGTCTCCGCACTCGCCCTTTTGCCTTGGCCCTCCCTTACCTCCCTCCGCTATAAATCGCGCCGCACACAGCCTGGCGCCGCTGCCTCTCACGAAGAGTCGTGTGCGCAGCGCGGGGGAGAGGAGAAAGAGGAGGCGGCCCAAGCAGCGGCGTGTGAGGAGCGGGCTGAGCGGCACAGCGAGCAATGCGCGGGCGCCCATAAATGTGCGGGCGCCGATAAATGCGCGGGCGCCGATAAATGCGCGGGCGCCGATAAATGCGCGGGCGTCCATGCGTTCGACCATCATGCGTCGGCTCTTGTGCTCGCAGGTGCACCTAGCTGCACGCGCACACAAGCCTCTTTCCCTCAAACACGCGCAAACGCTCGTCTCCGCGCACCCGCCAACCACTTCCCCCTGTTCGCCACTGCGCCCGCCGCTTGCCCATTCCCGCCTCCCCTTCCGCCCTGCCTCGCCCGCGCGCCCTCCGCCTCCCCCGCGCCCCCTCTGCTCGTCTACCCCGCATGCCCTCCCCTCCCCCGCCACGCCGCTCATCCCTCCGCCCCCCCTCATCCCATCACCCTCCATCTGCACGCTCCCAGTTCGCTGCTCTCCCCCATCCATTTCCCCCCTTCAAACCCTCCTGCTCCCTCTCTGCCCCCTCTTGCCCCTTTACCACTCCCTTTCCCCCTCGGCCCCCCGCCCCCGCCAGCCATGGGGCCCACGCTGCGCTGCTACCACCTGCCGTCGGGGCGGCTGCTGGCAGCCGTTGATGTGTTCGACGGCGTGCGCATCCACGGGATCGTGCCACGTGGCAGCAGAGGAGTGGGCGGCGCTGTATGGACCCGCGAGGGCGGGGGCAAGGGGAGGGGGGAAGCAGCAGCAACGGTGGTGGTGGTGCATGGGGAGAGGCGGGTGAAACTGGTGGTGCTGACGGTGCAGCAAGCAGCACAGGTGGCGCTGACAGTGACAGTGCAGCAGCAGGGCGTGGGGGAGCGGAGAGAGACAGCGGAGCAGGGGGGTGTGGGGCAGGGGGTGGGTGGGAGGGTAGAGCAGGGAGGCGAGGGGCAGGGAAGTGGGGGAGTGCGGATGGCGGTGGGTGCATGTGTGCCGTGCAGGGACCACTGGGTGTGTGATGCCGCCCTGCTGCCCTGCCCTGCACACGCCCATGCCACACAGGTGACAATACAAACGGACTCGTATGGCTCCTGGGTATTGCATACTCCCACCTGCCATGCTGCTTGCCATCGTCGATTCCTCTGCCTCGTCCAAACCCCCTGACTTCCCATCCCCCCCCCTCCTCCCCTTCTCCCCATGTTTTCCCTCCCTTGTCCCCCTCCCCGCACCCCTCCCCCACCCTCCCCTCACACCTTACCCTCCCCCCTCCCCCACCCCCACCTCCCCCTTCCAATCACCAGGCGGGCGTGCTGGCGGTGGGGCTGAGTGACAACAGCGTGGAGCTCTGGGCCACAGCAGCCGTTGGATCAGATGGGACGTGTGGCCAGGATGGCACTGGGGGGTTCTCTCTGAGGCTGCTGCGCTCTGTGGCTTGCTCAGGCACGCACTGCTCCCCTCCCCCTGGGCCCATGCTGTGCTCGCTTACACCCTGCTGCCATGCACCACCATTTGCAAGGGAAGCAGCACAGCACAACACAGCAAACTGGAGCCATGTTCTCAACATGCGTGCATGCATGAACCATGCCACGCATAACAATACAGTGTGCTCCCCGAATCTGCATGCACACTGACAGTGCTGTGACTGCTCTTGCTGTATTGCTCTGTGTCCGCATGGTTACATGCCCCTGTGTGTTCCCCTCCCCCACCCCCCTCCTCTGCCAACGCCCGTCCTCCCTGCACGTGCGTCAGACCGCAGTCTGCTGTACGCCATGCGCCTGCACTGGCATGCGCCCCTCGCAACCCTGCATGTGGCGGCCGGCACCATCTTCAACCGGTGCCATCGCAATTGCACACCTCAGCACCGCACTGTCACATGTTGAGCCTCCCTGCACGCTGCTCTCCTCTCTCTGCGCCCTGCTCGCCTCTGCATCTCCCTTACCGTCTGCCCTCACCTCATGACTTACCCCATCTGCCCGCAGCTGCTGCTCTGGACCGTGCCCCTCCACGCCTCTGCCTGCTGCGCCACTTTGAGCAGCAGCACTGAAGAGCCATGCCACGTGGCGCCCTCCCATAGGCTGGGAGGTCACGAGGGATCGATATACCGAGTGGTGTGGAAGGAGGAGGGTGACCAGGGGATCTGGGGGGAAAGGGGAGGGGGAGGGGGAGAGGGAAGGAACGGCGGAGGAGGAGAGGATGGGGAGGATTCACGAGAGGAAGGCGCTGAGAGCTTCACACTGATCTCAGTTTCGGACGACCGCAGGCAAGCAGGGGTGTGTTCATGCAGGGGTCACAAAATTGTATTTCCCTGCGTCAAGCGCCTAAGCAGTATCAGATTGGTGGTGCTGAGTGCTGCCCCTTGTATTGTATCGCGTGCGTGTGGCCATGCAGTGCGCGTGTGTGGCGTGTGAGCATGCCGGCCAAGGCACCACACGCACCACTGGCGGGCAGCTGTGAGGAGCAGTCATCCTGCGGTGGGGAGGGGACACGCACGGTGGAGTGTGGTGCAGCGCACAGGGTGCTGTTTGGCCACGGGGCTCGCCTCTGGGATGCGCATCTCGACTCCCAGGTGCTCGCTTGTCCCCCTGCCCCCTTGCCCGCTTGCCCCCCTGCCCCGCTGCCCCCCTCCCCTCTTGCCCCCTTCCCTCCTGCCCCCAAGCCGACCTTCTGCACTGCCCTTTGTACCTCCTATCCGCTACAGCCCCCCAACCTGTGCCCCTGCTCTGCCTCCCTTCTCTGCTTCACAGCACCTTACCTTCCCACACTCTTTATGGGTCGTCTCACACCAACACCATCGCACCATCATGCTCACGCCCCCGCACCCCCCATGCCCACACACCCACCCCTCGCTCCCCCCCACGGTGGCAGGTGGCAGTGACGGTGAGTGAGGACTGCACGGCGCGTGTGTGGAGCATTGAAGATGGCCGCCTGCTCGCACTCATCCCCGCGCACCAGTGAGCCCCATCCAATCAATTAGCCGTTTCAAGAATGAACGCCCATCCACACACTTTTCTAGATTTCTAGCCATGAGCGCACACCCATCTCTTGCAGATCCACCACAATCAGCTCTTTTCCTTCTTTGCCAATAACTCATGCTGCCTCACCCCGTTCTCCCCACTCTGCACCCTCCTCCCTCTCTCGCTGCCCCTCAACCACCCATGCGTGCATGGGCGAGCAGGGGGTGGGGCATATGGCGGTGTGTGGTGCACCCCCCCACGCGCACGCTCATCACAGGGGGGGCGGACGCCGCTATCAAGCTGCACGCCCTCCCCTCCCCCCTGCCCTTCCCCGCCCCTCCCCCTTCCACCCTGCCCTCCCCACGCGCCCTCCCCTCCACCGTGCCGGCTGCCCTGTCATGGCATCCCCCTCTGGACGCACTACTGCTGCGCGTCACGCCCACGGGCGCCCTCACAGGCAGCACCATCGCCCTCACCAGTGCTGCTGCCGCCACTGGTGCTCTGACAGAGGGGGAGGCAGGGGTGGAGGGGGACACTGGTGGCAAGGATAGGTGGGTCAGCCTGATATGTCCGTGCGACTCGTTGCACCATCACATGCGTGTTCCATGCTCGTCAGCATGCCTTGCCCCCCCTCATCAACACACCCCCCCATGGTTCCTCCCTCCTCCCACCACCGCATCACCCCCCCCTCTCTCCCCAGCAGCAAGAGCGAGTTCATCCGCTGCATGGCGCTGGCCTCGCCCCGCCTGCTGCTCCTCGCCACCAACCACGGCGCCCTGCTCCTCCTCCGCCTCCCCTCCTCCCCCTCCTCCCCCTGCCCCGCCCCCATTGTCCTCCTGCCCGCCGCCCCACCGTCCCCGTCCCATGCTTCCCGCGGACCAATTGTGTGCCTCCACGTGGAAAGGGAGGAAGGGAGTGCAGAAGAGGAGGAGGAGGAGGAGGAGGAGGAGGAGGAGGAGGAGGAGGAGGAGGAGGAGGAGGAGGAGGAGGAGGAGGAGGAGGAGGAGGAGGAGAAGGAGGAGGGAAGAAAGGAATCTGGAGAAGCAGGGCAGGGGAGGGAGAGGGAGGGGCGGTGGCGGGTGGTGTGTGGGTTCGGCATGGGGCAGGCTGTGGCGCTCTCCCTCTCCCTCTGGGTCCTGCCCCCCCGCCCCATGCATGCAAGCAGGGAAGGGGATGGGGAGGGTGGAGGCCATGGGGGGAAACAAGGGGCGGAAGGTGCAGCTGAGGAAGGGGGGCAAGGGGGAGTGGCAGGGGAGGGAGGGCGGGCAAGTGAGTTGGGGGAGGTGGAGGTCCATTGGTGGAGTGAGTGGCAAGCACACCAGGCAAGAAGGCTTCTTGGCACCTTCTGGTGCCGCAGCTTAAGTGACAGGTGCGTGTGAGGGAACAATGGAGACATGGTGCATGGTGCATGGTGCATGGTGCATGGTGCATGGTGCGTTCTCCTCACCATCCCTCTCACCATTCGTCCTCCTCACCGTCCATCCCTCCTCACCCCATTGCCCACTGCCCACCTCCCCACCATCCCTCCAGGCACGTCTTCACCACGGACCCAGCGGGCGGCGTTGTTTGGTGGCACATGGACGATACAGCACTGCCACCTGTCCCCTCCACCTGCCCTCTCGCACGTGGCACTGTTCACCTGTTCGGGCGGCAGCTGCCGGCCACAGCAGTGGCAAGGATCCAATCACCGGGCGGCGCACGTGTGGTGTGCTTGGATGCATGCCCTCACAGCAAGGTACCATCCTCTTGCCCCATCTTATGTTTTACCCGTACATTTCTCGCCTTCACTGTGTGCCTGTGTCCCATCTACACCTCCCCTTGTCCATCGCCTTGTTTCCCCCATCCTCCACCCCCCACCAGTGTCATCGCCTTGTTTCCCCTTTTCCATTGCCTTGTGTGCCCCGCGTGCAACAGCTGCTGCCAGCCTGGCATTGGGCGAATTTTCTCATCAGGCCCCTCGATCCGAATTACTCTCCCCTCCCACCCCCCACCCCACCCTTCATCCCGTCGCCCGGCCGGCAGCTGCTGGCACTGGGCGACCAGAGGGGCCACCTCTACCTCTACCGCTTCTCCCTCGCCGCCTCTGCTGCCAGCTGCCCAGTGGCGAATTGCCACGTGGCAGCAGTGCTCAAGGGGGCGCATGGCATATCTGCAGTGGCGAGTGTGGCAATAGAGGGGGCAGCAGGCATGGGCGCAGCTGCAGCGTCGCTTGGCTTCACTGCCCTCATCCACACGGTGTGTGCCATGCCTGCACTGCAGTGCAGTGCGGTGCGGTGCGGTGCGGTGCGGTGCGGTGCGGTGCGATGAAATGACCAGCGTGTGTCTGTATGGTTGTTTCCTATGGCTGTCGAATATGGCAAAGTTATCCCGCACGCGGGTTTCATTCGCATGCCAAACATGCCCTCCCATGCGTTGACCCCATTACCTCATGCACCGCCACTCAAGCTCCCCTTCGCCCACCACCTCCCTTCAAATCCCCACGGCCACCAGACGGGCAGGGATGGCTGCATCTGCACCTTCGCCCTGCGCGCCCCACCGCCACCCCCACCGCTTGCCCCTGCACCTGGCCCACCTTGCAACTCTACGAGTACGGCAGCTGCCAGTGGGGGCGCGGTGGGGCATATGGGCATGGCATGTGCACCTGGCAGTGAGGAGGGCGACACGGGCGTGCAGGAGAGAGGGGGGCAGCAGGGGGGCGTGGTGTGTGTGGGGGTGCAGCGCGCAGGGGAGGTGGGCATGGTGGAGCGCGTGGTGTGGGTGAGGGGCGGGGGAGGAGGGCGCAGGGCAGGCAGGGTGGCGGTGGGGTTTGCAGCAGCGGACTTTGTGGTGTGGAGTGTGGGCGAGCAGGCAGAGGTGGGTGGGGCTCCTTTGACTCCACGGCCGGATCTGCAAACGTTCCCCAATCGCCCCTACTCCGAACCAAACCCTTCGTTTCTTTCTCTTTGAACCTATCTTGGATATCCCACCCTCCAGCCCTCCCACCCACTTGTATCTCTCCCACCCGACGGCACTCCCACCCCGCTGTCAGGTGGTGCGCATAGCGTGTGGGGGATGGCGCCGCCCGCACGCCTTCCTCATCGATGCGCTCTGCATGGGGTCCTTCGCCTTCGCCTTCCTCAAGGTGCTGCCATGCCATGCCGTGTCATGCCACGTGATGCCCTGCCCTGCCATGGCCATGGGCTTCGTCTGTAGCGGTGCATGGGTTGCGCCTTGTACCATGGCGTCACACTGCAGCACTGTAACGTCTGCTACCACATCCTGCCTCTCACCCCTCATTGCTCTTCTTGCCCCATGCCCCAATGTCCGCATGCCCCATCCCCCCGTTCTCCTTCCACCCATGCCCCCATGCCCCCATGCCCCCATACCCCATGCTCCCCACCCACCAGGGCAACCATGTGCATGTCCACCGCACCTCACCTGCCGCCACACACTCCGCCCTCCCCTCCCCACACATGCCCCCCTCCTCCCTGCACACCACCTTCCACGGCCGCGAGCTGCACTCCCTCGCCCTCCTGCCTCTGCCCCCACGCCCCTCGCCCCACACCCACACCCCCTCCTCACCCTACGCCTCTCCCACACGTGCGTTCTCCTCGCTGCTGCTCTCTGCTGCTGAAGACGGCTGCCTGCGCGCCTCCCTGTGAGTGCGGGGGGGCAAGGGGAACACAACGTATGGGAGCCACATGGGTGGGGCCAGTGGGAACGCGGGTGCTTGTGGGGTGCGATTGCATGGCAGCTCTCTTGAAATCCGCAACTTTCCTCTCTTCCATGTCACTCCCATCCACATGCGACCCGCCCCTTTGGCTGCCCACGTCAAGCTGTCACCCCTTGCTGCACTGCCCTTTCCTGCATCCACCTCCCTAGACTCTTCACCCCACCTCATTGCCGCCCCTGTGCTTGCCGCTGTAGGTACGACCCCTCAAGGGAGGGGAGCGGAGGGGTGCTGGAGGGCAGTGCGCGGGTGGGCGAGCACGTGGGGGGCAGCGCCATCAGAGCCATTGCCACGTGCGCTGCAGAGGGCAGCAGCAGCACTGCCAACCCCACAGAGCAGTGCGGCAGCAGCAGCGGTGGTGGTCTTGGTGGTGGGGCTGGCAGTGGGGTTGGTGGCCCCTCGTCGTGGCTGGTGTTCACGGCTGGGGCGCGCGAGGTGCTCATGTGCTGGCTGCTGCTCTGCCCTGGCCCCATTCCCCCGCCTGCTGCCCCGTGTCATGCTCTTTCCCGAATCTCCCCACACGCCGGGCAGCAGGGAGGGCAGCAAGAGGTGCAGACAGAGGGGGAGAAGCAGAGGGCTGGGAGGGAGGAGGTGGGAGGCAGAGGGGAAGGATGGGAGGATGTGTTTTTGAAAGGAGTGCAAGGGGGGGTTGGAGCAGAGGCGAGTGGGGAGGATGGAGGAACGGATGGGCGACAGGTTCTGTCGTTTTGGTTGAGCACTCACCGGCCAGATAAAAGGCGAGTGGTGCCGTGCGGTTCCAGTGGAAATGGCAGCAGCGGCGGTGTGGATGACGATGTGCGGTACCTGAGCGTCACTGCATTTTCATTCGGCAGCTTCTCCCAGCGGTGGGTCCTCTCAAGCCCTTGCATGCATGCAGTGGGTGGCTTCACACCATGCTGACGCGCTCCCTCTGTCAATCCCCTCCTCACTCTCCCTCCCTTCTCCATCACCTTCCTTGGCCGCACTCCTCCCCTTCCACCCACCCATGCAGCTCGCTGGTGGCGGTGATAGCAGCGGCAACATCAGACGCGCAGCTGCACCTGCTGGCCTTCCACGCGCCCTCCCTCTCCTGGCACCGCCTCGCCACCCTCCACCACCACACCTGCCCCGTCCTCTCCCTCCACCACCTCCTCCTCCCCTCCCCCACTGCCCACACTACCACCTCCCCCTCGCCTGCTGCCCCCACCACTGACCCCACCGCTGCCCCCTCGTCCTCGCTGCCTGCTCTGCCGCGCTGCCTCATCACCAGCGGTGCCACGGACGGCGCTGTTGTGCTCTGGGATGTCACCGCCCCTGTCATCCACTTCCTGCACGCCACGTGGCATGGTGCCTCGCATCCCCCCCCACTCTTTCCCTCATCATTATCCTCAACAGAAGCATCATCAGCAGGTGCAGCAGGGGGCAGCAGCTTGGGGGCAGTGCGGCCGGTGAGTGGCCGGGGCAGTGAGGGGGGGCAGCGCAGGAGGAATGCACGCTGGCACTTGCAGGGCGGGGGAAAGGGGCACAGGCAGGGCGGAGGGAAGGGGCAGGGGCAGGGCCAGGGGCTTGGGGGAGAGAGGACTGGCGGCAGCAAGATTGGGGAGCAGGCAGGGCGAGAGGGGGAGGAGCAACGGATGGAGGAGGGAGAGGCGGGAGGGGGGGAGGCAGAAAGAGAAGGCGAGGGACGCAGGGATGATGATTGTCAAAGGGAGGCTAGTGGGCTGGTGGTGGGACGTGGAGATCAGTTGGGAGGAGGGGTGACGGAAGAAAGAGGGGAGCAGGTGGAGAGAAGGGAGGGGAAGGCGAGGGGGGAGCGGGAGGAGAGAGTGGAGGGGGAGGAGGTTTCAGAAGGCAAGGGAGGTGAGGAGAAGCGGCAAGGGTGTGCAGAGGCGCAGGGGTGGGCGGGTGTGGACGTGGGTCCGCTGTGTGTGGTGAGGGGCGCCCACCAGTCTGGCGTCAACTGTATCTCCGCTGCTGCCACCTCCACGGCAGGGAGGGGCCACTGGCAGGGGCAAGAAACGCGAGCGGATGGGGGGGATGGGGGGAATGGGACGGATGGGGTTGATGGGGTGGAAAATGGCAGGGTGAGGGGCGTGGGGGCAGCACAAGTAGTGGTGGTGAGTGGCGGGGACGACGAGGCGGTGCATGCTGTGGTGCTGCACCTGGACTGCATGGGCGCCGAGCAGAGAGGGCACACAGGACGTTCCGAGGGGCAGAGCGCAGAGGAGGGGGGGGAGGGAGGAAGTGAGGGGGGAGGGAGGGGGAGAGTGGTGCGAGTGGTGGCACGGACATGTCAACCCAATGCTCACTCCGCTGCTGTCAAAGGTAACACGACTACTGCCCATCACATTGTTGCTGCTGTCAGCCAGCCATGTGGCCCCCTCGTTGCCAACCAACAGTTTTGTCATCACCAACCCTTTCGACCTCTTGTCCCCAGCCCTTACCCCTGCCCTACGTCATGCCATGCCATGCCACACCATGCTATGCCACGCCATCCCATGCGTCCCATGCCATGCCACGCCATGCCACCTCACGGCAGGCATCTGGACGGATGGGCAGGCGGTGCTGTCTGTGGGGCTCGACCAGCGCCTGCGCTGCTGGTCCCTCTCCTCCAATCACCACGCGCCACATGGCAAGGCAGGCGGTGCAGAGGCAGCTGCAGAAGGGAGATGCAGCGAGGAGGGGCAGAGGGGTGAGAGGGGGTGTGCAGGAGAAGAGGGAGGGGAGGGTGTGGAGGGGAGCAGGTGGGATGCGGGGAAGGTGGCGTGTGGGGCGGGGCAGGCAGGGGCGGGTGTGGATGGGATAGGGGAGGGTGGGATGCGGTTGGAGGGCAGGGGGCGGTGTGTGGATGGGATAGGGGAGGGTGGGATGCGGTTGGAGGGCAGGGGGCGGTGTGTGGTGGATGTGCCCGAGGCAGAGGGGCTGGCAGTGATGGGTCAAGGCAAGGGCAGGTGAGTGGCTCATGGGGCTCATGGAGGGGAGTCAGTCAGCACGTAAGCACGTCTTGTTGTTGCACACATGCATAACACATCAAGGTATTGCGAGTTAGTCCAATGCATCATGCCCTTGTGTTTGAGTCCAATGCGTGTGTGCTTCAGGTACCTGGCAGCGCTGTGTGGCCGAGGCATGCAACTCATCCAATGCACCGAGTCGGCGCCTTGACTTGACAAGTGCAAATGCCCTCTCTGTTGCTCGACCAAGCCAACTGCACCAGTGTAGCATGCCTTTAGGACGATCTTCCATTATGAGAACGTGAATCAGTTCCTGTTGTGAGCTCATCAGCTTAGTGAACCTTTCTCGGATGATCACATCCAGCAGACGTTTTTAGCAGCACAGGTTAAGGTTAAACACTATGGCAGCATACCGTGCCGTACATCTAATACATTGTGCCGCTGCACCCCATGCTGTGAACCTAGCCATCCTGCATGGACGCCTCTCCTCCACTGCCCACGGCCTGCCGCACAGCCTCTTTGATCTGCTGAGCTAGACGGCGGTGCCCCTCCTCCCTCAGTGCCGCCCGGTACTTCTTATCCACGAAGATCCGCTTACCATCCACCCCGGGGCAGGGGAAGTACCAGAGGCGCACCGTGTAGCCGCACGCGTGTGCCACGGCGGGGTCTGCTTCTTTAATGCGGTGGTCCCGCCCCACCTCCCTGTGGCACCCGCACTGCCCCGTGTCCACCTGCAACGCCTCCTGTAGCCGCCGCTGCTGCTGCACTGCCTTTCCCAGCACAGGCAGCACAGCACCGTGCTCCGCCTCTTGTGCCACACCCTCCCCCCCTGCACCCTTCCCCCCCTCATAGTCCTGCGCGCTCGAGTGATTGAACCTGCTGCCTGCACCGCACTCCACATGCACCAAGCGCCGGCCTCGCTGCGCCTGCCCTTGCTGCTGCCCTTCTGTCTCCTCATCATGCTCCCCCTTCCGCCTCTTCTGCTCCTCCCTCCGCCTCTTCTGCTCCTCCTGCTTCTGCCGCCACCGCTGCTCCACCTGCTGGCGGCGGCGCAGCGCGTGCTCCTCCTCGAAGCGCCCCGTGCCGCACGCGCGGTCGATCAGCTCCAGCTTGTTGTCTCGCCCGTATGCCATGCCTGCCGGGCATGGGCATGAGGCACGGGAGCAGGGACAGGGTGTGGGGCATGGGGCATGGGTCATCATAGGAATGGGCATGAGGCATGCGCGTCAGGCATGGGCATGAGGCATGGGCATGAGGCGTGGCCATGAGGAACACAGGAGATGAGGCACACACACGCGGTCGACCAGCTCCAGCTTGATGTCTCGCCCGTACGCCATGCCTGCCATGCACGCGTGCGCACAGCAGGGGTGCAGGGGCAGGGCACAGGGCCCGGGGCATGGTTCATGGGCATAGGGCATGGGGCATGGGGCACAGTGCATGGGGAATGGGGCACGGGGCATGAGCGGTGGGTGCTCACCCTCGGTGCAGCGCTGCTCACCCTCGGTGCAGCGCTGCTCACCCTCGGTGCAGCGCTGCTCACCCTCGGTGTAGCGGTGAGGCGAGTCGTTGCGGAAGGCGACTTGGCTCTCCCACATTTGCGGGGCGAAGCGCTGCAGCACGTGGAAGCGCGTGCCAGAGGCCAGCCAGCGCGGCGACTGCTCCTCGTACACCCGGTACATGGGCACCTGGGGGGACAGGGGCAAGGGGGGCAGGGGGCAGGGGCAAGGGGGCAGGGGTGGGGGGGGGGGGCGCAGGGGGGCAGGCGGGCAAGGACGGACGGGAGGGGAGGGAGGGTGGGGAGGTTGCAGGTGAGGAATGTGAGGAGCGTGAGGTGCTGCACAGGGCACCTGTCAGCAACACATATGAAGACAAGAGCAGGGGCGAAGAGAATCCTGGTTGATCCAAGGGAGGGGCGCATTATATGTGACTCTCAGGCGCACCTTGAAGAGCTTCAGCCCGGCCTGCTCATGCCTGAGAGCAGCGTGGCGAATGAGGTCCCAGGCGTGCGCGGTGATGAACTGGTTGCCGTCAAACGCCAGCACCCACCGTGCCCCCTCCGCCCTGCCATGGTCCAATATGAAGTTGCGCGCCTCGTTCTGCGCTGCTCTGCCCCCATGCCCCGCCATGCCATGCCATGCCATGCCATGCCATGCCATGCCACGCCATGCCATGCCATGCCATGCCACGCCATGCCATGCCATGCCATGCCATGCCACGCCATGCCATGCCATGCCATGCCATGCCACGCCATGCCATGCCATGCCACGCCATGCCATGCCATGCCATGCCATGCCACGCCATGCCATGCCATGCCATGCCATGCCATGCCACGCCATGCCATGCCATGCCATGCCATGCCACGCCATGCCATGCCATGCCATGCCACGCCATGCCATGCCATGCCCATCACATGCCCACACGCCACACATGCCCCACATGCCCACATGCAATGCCCACATGCAATGCCCACATGCAATGCCCACATGCAATGCCCACATGCAATGTCCACATGCAATGCCCACATGGCCATGCACACACATCAACCGCACAATGTGTGCAGCCAGCAGAGCACAATGCACAGCTCGCACAGATGACAGCAGGGAAGAAAGACAGGCACGGAAATGATCGCGTGACAGGCTGTGATGCAAGCTTAGGGCGGGATGCAATGATGAGGGGTTAACACCTGTGACAGCCTCAGTCAACGCCTCACCTGTGACAGCCTCGGTCCAGGAAGACTCAGGAAGGGTGGCGATGTGCGAGTAGTTGATCCGACGGACAAGAATGTCCTACACGGCGAGATGAGGTGGGAGAGAGGAGTGGGGGGAGATGAGTGAGGAGAGTGGGGGGAAAGAGAGGAAAGGGGGGGAGAGAGGAAGGGGGAACAAGGAATGGGCAAAGAGGAAGGGGGAAAGAGGAGGGAGGAAAGAGGAGTGAGGAAAGAGGAAGGGGGAATCGAGGAAGGGGGAATCGAGGAAGGGGGAATCGAGGAAGGGGGAATCAAGGAAGAAAAAGAGGGGGAATGAAAGAGGCAGGAAGGGGCATGGAGCTAGGAGCAACAGCAGGTGGCATCCCCCTCTCCCGCATCACACTGTTTTCTCCCTGCGCCCCCCCTGTGCGCTCCCATGTGCGCCCCCCTGTGCGCCCCATGCGCCCCCCTGTGCGCCCCCCTGCGCCCCCCATGTGCGCCCCCCTGCGGCCCCCATGCGCGCACCTGTGGCGCCACGCCGTGCGCGAGCAGCGCGTCCAGCAGCAGCGCGCGCTCCGTGCCGTTCACCACGTGGTTCACCACCCACAGCCGCCGGCAGTCGCGCAGCGCGCGCGCCTCGTGCTGTAGCGCGTACAGCGTGTTGCGGAGTAGCTGCCCCGCGCACTGCAGCGGCGCCATGTTGTTGCCGATCAGCCGGTACAGGAAGAACCGCGCCGTCTCTTGCGCCGTCTCTTGCTTCTCTTGCGCCGTCTCTTGCGTCTCTTGCGCCGTCTCTTGCGCGGGCGCTTGCGCCTCTGCTGTTGCTGCCGCTGCTCCCCGAGCGACCTCGCTAGCGTCATCCCCTTCCCTATCAACTCCCCTCGACCGGTCTGCTTCGAAGAGATGAACCCCTTCCACTCCCGCCTCCGTGTCTACCCATTCAGTCTCGTGCGCCCCGTGCGCCATCTGCAGCCCTCGCGCCCCTTGCGCGCCGTGTGCGCCATCTGCCGAGCCGTTGCGACCACCAGCTGCGGACCGGGGCGGCGGGAAGAGAGGCGAGAGGAGCGGGGCGCAGAGGGCGGAGGGGGAGGCGGAGAGAGCCCAGAGCGCGAGCAGCGCGAAAGCGACGGTGTAGGCGAGGAGCAGTACGAGGGGGGCACGCGGAGAGGTTGCGGAGGGCGCGGGTGCTTGGCATACATGGGCTCTTCGATGGTTCATGTCCGTTGGAAGGAGGCTTGGGCGAAGCAGTGTGCGGGAGGTGAAGAGGCCAGCTGAAAGGTGAGGGTACCGACGTGCGCTTGTAATGGGGCCCTTCGGTCCATATGCATCTACTACAATGATCTAACTCCAAACGCGATCAATTGTGAACTAGTGCAATTGAGTGAGCGAGCGAGCATTGCACTATCGAGACAAGAATACAATGAGCCAAGGATTGAGCGAAGAATATATAGCTGTTATGAGTTGTAATTGTAAGGAATTTTCCCGAATTCCTTATCGGGGTTGACTGCTTCGCGTACAGCCCCGATTTTCGGACTCTGCACGTTTGGCCGACATCAACGATGCCGAGCCTCCTCGCGTCGCCTTCGGCTTTTCTCTTCGCCAAACCTGCACCCAACCTCACTCACCCGAAGTTCCCTCCTAGCTAGCCTACTCACTATGTTAGCGTGTGCCTTCATTGTATAATCAGCCTGTTCAATCACCTTCTCGTTATTCGTTAACCTGCGCACTCTCTTTTACAACTCATAACACCTGGTATTAGAGCTATTTTCCTAGTTCACCCCGCTTTTCGAAGGTAGTTTGGTGGCACGGGTTGGCTGGTATAAGTGGACTACACGACGGTTGGCCGCAAGGTTTGTTAATTCAAACCTGCCCGACTCCGATAGTTCGAGTTTTCCACTTTGCCTGAAGGCCATGGAGACCCGCTTGCCCACCCGACGCAGTGCTCACACATGGATCAAGAGGCGGTTAACAGACTTATGGCGCAAGTGGCAGAAATGCAGGAGGGCATGAAGTCATTAATGGCGGAGGTGACAACACTACGTGGAGAAAACGCCGAGCTACGCCAGGCGCGAGGTGAAGCGCGCCAGGAGTCACCCGATGACGAAGGCGAGGGCAACAGTCAAGCGGTGAGCAACCCGTTGGACGCGCTCACACGTGACTTCGAAGAAGAAGACAGGCAGCGAGCGGCATCAGCACCAGTTGCAGTAACGACGATCAAGATTAAACCCGTCAACCCGCCCCCGTTTAATCCTACGGACAAGACAACTACAGTGAAAGGATGGTTGTTCGGAGTTGAGGTCTTTTTCACTGCAGCAGGTGTGAACGACGATGCCATGCGTATTAATTATGCCATTTCTCTTCTCCGAGGCGCAGCGCTTGAGTGGTGGCGCCGAACCCTAGAAACGGGGACCCCGACAGGTGTGACACACGCGGCAGACGGGACCTCAACAGGGACTAATCAAGTGGCAGAGTCGATCTTCGGAGTGACCAAGATACGCACATGGAGAGAGTGGGGCGCAGCCTTACGAGATCGCTTCGAGCATGTATCTGCCTCGGGGCAAGCTCGCATGAAGCTGCGTGCCTGGTCACAGATGGCATCTGTCCAAGACTACACGGCGTCATTTATGGGCCTCGCCGACCAAGTGGATGACATGTCGGAAGCAGAGCGGCTGGATAAGTACATCAGCGGCCAAAAATACGAGATTCAATACGAGGTCCGCAGGAGCCGCCCGACAACATTCCTGGAAGCAGTACGACTGGCGGAGTCAACTGATGCACTGATGCAGTATGCGAGAGCAGCTTCCCGAGAGGGAATCCGCTTTCGTGGCCAGACCCATCGGGCCACGATCAACGCCGTCCATACACCCGACCGCCCTCCTAAGGGACCGTGTTATCGGTGTGGGAAGACGGGTCACTTAATGCGCGACTGCCACGAGAAAACGCCGCTGACGGGGAACGACAGGAAGGAGCAAGGAAATGGGAAAAGTCAGTAATTAGCGGGCCCTTTACTGACTGTGCTCCATCGCCCGAACACCACAATCCCCACCGAGTCGTGGTTGCGATTCATGCAATCGATCACACTCGGCCGAATAACGGGGATACTCATGTGGATCACCCTGTGCTGGTCGCTGGCAAGGTGTTAAAAAATAACTTAAAAATGTTCGTCGATGGAGGGGCCAGCCATAGCCTCTTCAACCTGGCGACAGCAAAAAAATGCAAGCTGCAACTTGACAGGTGTCTGCCCGAAATTGACGCTCGCCTCGTGGATGGGACGCCTCTGGCGATACTGGAAGAAACACGGACGGTTCGGATTGAATGCGGCGACGATTTCGGCTTCAGCATGAAGTTCCTCGCGACAACACTGGATGGCTGCGACGTGCTGTTGGGACGTGATTGGCTGCGACGACGCAACCCCGTCATCGACTGGACAACGGGATCGTGCTGCATCAACAAGCACGAGGGGCTAATTAAGCTGCCTGCATGGACACATGACTACATCCAAGCCCCGTGCGTCAAAGCTGTCACTATAGCTCGACACTTCAATAAGGGCGCGCAACTGTTCGCTGTTTGCTTACGCGAGTTGACGGTTGTGTCAGAATAGTGAAGGAATGAATGACTGAACTAGCAAGGAGGTGGGTACAAGTAGAAAACCTAAAAGTGTTGTACCTTATATGAACTACCCCACTACAGCCTAGATAGACTATATCATATAAGTTTGACAGGTTGACACCGACGGAAAAGACATCGAGAAGCTGTGTCCAGCTGTACCACCGGACTTAGCGGAGCTGATTCGACAGTACCCCGACATTTTCCCCGACGATCTGCCACCTGGACTACCACCCGAGCGACCTGAGAACCACAAAATCCAGTTAGAACCTGGCGCGCAGCCGACTGTTCGGACACAGTGGCGGTTGACCCAGCTGGAACTCGAGGAGTTGCGAAGTCAAATTGATGCACTGTTGGAGAAAGGATTCATCCGAGCCAGTACATCTCCCTTCGCAGCACCGATCCTCTTCACTCCGAAAAAAGATGGCGGGCTTCGCATGTGCATCGACTATCGTGCGCTCAACCGGGTGACAATCAAGTCTCGCTACCCAATCCCACGCACCGACGACCTCCTTGACCAACTTCGCGGAGCTCGATATTTCTCGAAGATCGACCTACGCGGCGGTTACCACCAATTCCGAGTCTTTGCCGACGACTGCCACAAGACTGCATTTCGCACCCGCTACGGAAGTTACGAATTCACCGTGATGCCTTTCATCCTCACGAACGCACCTTCGACGTTTCAGTTGACCATGAACAGGGTTTTTTCGGGATCTTCTAGACCGATGCGTGATCGTCTACTTGGACGATATCCTCATTTTTAGCAAGACACGGGAGCAACATCTCCGCGACCTTGACGCAGTGTTTAAAAAGTTGCAGGAGAATCGACTCATCACCAAGGGCTCTAAGTGCGAGTTTTTTAAGCAAGAGTTGGAGTTTTTGGGACACGTTATCTCACGCGACGGCATTAAAATCGACCCGGCGAAAATCAAGACCATACAGGAGTGGAAGTCCCCGACGAACATCACGGAGCTGCAGAGTTTTCTGGGGTTCGTGAATTACGTCAAGCGGTTTATCCCGAATATGGCGGGGATAACTGGCCCGCTAACCGACCTGCTGCACAAAGACCGGAATTTTGTGTGGGGGGAGGAGGCAGTGTCAGAATAGTGAAGGAAGGAATGACTGAACTAGCAAGCAGGTGGGTACAAGTAGGAAACGTAAAAGTGTTGTACCCTATATGAACTACCCCACTACAGCCTAGACAGACTATAGTGTATAAGTTTGACACACCCCCATAGGCAAAGTGGGGGAGAACAAGAGTGTTAGAATATGGAACGAATGAATGACTGAACTAGGAAGCAGGTGGGTACAAGTAGGAAACCTAAAAGTGTTGTACCCTATAAGAACTACCCCACTACAGCCTAAACAGACTATAGCATATAAGTTTGACACACCCCCATAGGCAAAGTGGGGGAGAACAAGAGGTCACAAGACCAGTCAAGAAAGACAAAGCAAGCTCAGGGTGGATCACAAAGTCACCACGCAGTCTGAGCACAAGCAAATGGCCACAAGGCCAGTTCACATGCAGAGTTATATAAAGGAAAACAAACAATACAGTGAACACATCCTAGCAAGTGTAAGCATGCAGGTATATGTATATAGAGTACAGGACAAGCAGAGTCAAGAAGTAAGCAAGTGAGGCACAGTAGGTACAAGGCCTAGAACAGTACAGAAACGCTGATGATCACAAGGCTGAAGTGCCTTGGTGAAAACATCAGCAGTGTTGGCCCGAAAGGCCACGTAGGCAAGACGAAGCTGACCACGCTGCTGCAACTCTTGAGCAAGGAAGTAGCGCAAAGCAATGTGCTTCGTTCTGTGCTCCTGACACAGGGCAAGCATTGCGTTGTTGTCGACGTAGAGAACTGGAGGAGAACGAGGCGCCTCTCCCAAGTCGGTCAGCAGGTAGGTGAGCCGGCGTAACTCCTGTGCAGCCATGGCCTCAACGTAGATCTCAGCCTCACAACTGGAGTTGAGAACAGAAGACGAGCGGGTAGACCGCCAAGAGACAGAGCCGGAGCCAAGGCCGAAGGTTTAGCCCTGTGACGACCGCTGCGTAGCTAAGTCGTCAACCCAGGAAGCGTCTGCGTGACCAGTGAGGACAACTCGAGCCCGTCCTCCAAGCACGAGCCCCATGCCCGACGTGCTGCACAAGTAGCGCAACACCCTCTTAGCTGCATCCATGTGCTCCTTCCTGTGTCTGCCAGGAGCGACATAGCATGCTAGGATGCTAAGAGGGTAGGCAAGGTCAGGTCGAGTGCAGGTCATCAGGTACATGAGGCAGCCCACAAGCTCTGGATACGGGCCACTCAGCTCTACGGACTCGTCCGAAGGTAGAGGTGAGAGCGAGTGACCGGTAGGCAGAGGAGTGGACTGTGGCGAGGAGTACGTGAAGCCGAAGCGCTGAAGGACCTGCTGCACCATGTGTGACTGAGTCAAGGTAATGGTGCGCTGTGCTCTGTCCCGGGTGATCCGCAAGCCAAGATAGCTTGTCAGCTCACCCAGGTCTGTGCACGTGTGTCTCTTCTGCAGCTCGGACTTCACGTGGGCGAGTGCCTCAGTGTCAGCAGTAGCAAAGACGAGGTCGTCTACGTACACGAGAACGTAGAACGACG